CCCCAACAAATTTTTCCCCCTTTTTTTAAATTTTTTTTTCCCCCCCTTTTTTTCCCAATTTTGGGGGTTTTTAAAAAAAAAAATTTAAAATTTTTTTTTCCCCCCCAAAAATTGGGGGAAAGGTTTTTTTTTCCCTTTTTTTAAAGGGAAAAAAAAAAAAAAGGAAAAAAAAAAGGGGGCCCCAAAAAAATTTTCTTTTTTAAAACCCAATTTTTAAAAAAGGGAAAAAATTTTTAAAAAACTAAAAAAAAAAAATTTTTTTAAAAAAAAAAAAAACCCCCCCCCCCCCCCCCCCCCCCAAAAAAAAAAATTTTTTAAAAAACCCCCCCCCCAAAACCCCCCCCCCCCCCCCCCCAAAAAAATTATAAAAAAAAGGGGAAAAATTTTAAAACCCGGGGCCGGAACCACCGGGTAAAGGTTTTGGAAAAAAAAAAGGGGGGGGGGGGGGGAAACCCCCCCCCGGGGGGCCCGGGGGGGGGGGGCCCCCAAAACGGGAAAAAAGGGGGCCCCGGGGGGCCTTTTTTTTGGGGCCCTTTCCCCCCAAAAAAAAAATTTGGGAAAACCCAAAAAAAGGGTTTTAAAAATTTAAAAAAACCCCTTTTAAAAAGGGCCCCTTTTTTAAAACCCTTTTTTTTCTTTTTCTTTTTCCTTCCCCCCCCCTTTTTTTTTTCCCCCCGGGGGCCCCCAAAAGCCATCAGTTTTTAAAGGGGCCCCCCGGGGGGGGTTTTTTAAAAACCCCCCTTTTAAATTTTCCTTTTTTTTTTTCCCCCCCCCTTTTTTTTTTTTCCCGGGGGGGGGAAAAAAAAAAAAAAAAACCCCCAAAAAAAAAACCCCAAAAAAAGTAAAGGGGGTTTTGGGTTAAAAAAAAAAAAAAAAAAAAAAAAAAAAAAAAAAACCCCCTTAAAAAAAAATTTTTTTCCCCCTTTTTTTTTAATTTTTTTTTTTTTTTTTTAAAAAAATTTTTAATCTTAAAAAAAAATTTTTTAACAAAAAAATTTTTTTTTTTAAAAAATTTTTAAAAAAAAAAGGGGGTTTTTTTTTTTTTTCTTCAAATTGGGTTTTTTTTTAAAAAAAAATTTTAAAAAAAAAATTTTGCCTTTTTGTTTTTAAAAAAGACAAAAGGGGTTTTCCTTTTTCCGAAAAAAAACCAAAAAAATTTTTTTTTGGGGGGATTTTTTTTTTTTTTTTTTTTTTGGGGTTTTTTTTCCCCCTTTTTTTTTTCCCCCCCCCTTTTTTTTTTTTTTTTTTTTTTTTTCCCCCCCCCTTAAAAATTGGTCTGAAAAAATAAAAGGTCTAGCCCAAATAAGCCCAATACGCCTGAAGGCGTGGAAAGGGGTCCTTTACTTTTATACTTACTGCTTCTTCGTCTTCATCGTTCTCATCTTCTTCTGCTTTCCCCACGCTGTTTTTAATTTCCTCGTGCTGGACTGCCCCAAAAGCCATCAGATTTCTAAGACGCCGCCCCTCATGGTGGTTTTATTTGCATCCCTTGTAAACGCTTTCCTTTCCCCCCTTTCTCTATTTTAATTTGCGCCCGCGCTTCCGTCTGTTTCACAGTATAAGAAACACAAATGAAAAGTGAACGTTGCGGCTTCAGGGCCTTCACCAGCACCTACATAAATCAAAGAAATCCTCACGAATACAGAAAACTACAACTGAGGTATCCCGAAGCAGCCACGTTGATGTCTTGCCAGTGGAACGTTTAATCTTTAGTTTTGGTACATTTTTAAATCTAGGAGAATTTTCCTCTTAACTAAATAGCAGTCAGTTCTTTAAGGAGAAGAAAATATGGACAATGAGCAGACGAATGTATTTTTTTTCTTTCTTCCTACTCAGCTTTTTTTAAATAACGAGAGCGAATCATTGATAATGTATGACTTTTCATCATAATGTAAGTGCCTTGTCGATTGACATTGTCGATAATATATCGACAGTGAATAGACGCATATATACCTTATCGACTGACGTCGATAATGTATCGACAATGAACAGACACATAAGTGTCTGTCGATTGACGTTGTCGATCGTATATCGACAATGAACAGACTCATTTATGCCTTGTCGATTGACGTTGCCGATTTTATATCCCCTTCCCCTTTTTTCCTCCTTTTTGCGATCTCGGTGTATCAGTTCATGTGCTGTCTCAAGTCCATACACTGACTCGCTGTCCACAGATTGTCAGTAGTATTCTCTAAACATTTTTTTTTTTTATTTCCCGCATGTCTCATCCTGTAAAATATCCTTGGTTACGACATTAATGACATGCAATTCTATCCACAGAAAACATGTATGCGAGCGAGAGACTGAAGAATTCGTCAACAGAACAGAAACGGGCAGCGATGTGTTGCGTCATTTCAGCACCACATCTCAAGTCTGCGATGAGTCAGAGACAGCCTACAAGTGCAGGATGGTGTAAGTTGTTTGTCTGAGTGTGTTTTAAACAGTGAATCCAAATTTAGCTTATTTTCTCTTTGATGCGGCTGGCGGAGCGGTTACAACGTCGGGCTCTCGCTCGGGAGGCGTAGGTTCTACACTCGGTAAGGTGATAGAGTTCTGTCCGAGGCAAAATTAAATATCCCAACCTGCACAGTCCGTGGCGACAGCACTAGCCATGCGGTCCTAAATTCTCAGGCTCACGACCCCCTGCTACACCGCCCTAAAAAGTGGAACATACAGTCAGCAGTGATAGTTTTGTAGATGCGGAAGGTTTTATTGAACATAGAGAGTGGCAGAGGCTCTAGTGCCGCCGTCTTAGCTGGCAGTTTATCCGGCTGTGCTCGTGGGCCCTAATATAACCTCACGGTTGAACGGGGTTTCTGGAATCTCTCCCCGAGTGATCCTCAACCGCATGGTGGCACTTTGTGTCACCGGGTGTTTATCGCTTGGTGGATATCCTGATGGGATTGAACACTATTATCATCATCTGCAGTATATACTTTGCTTCCTCTTTCCAAGTCCTTCAGAAATTTAGCATTATCACTTCATGCCTCCTTTCTTACTAGTTTTTTTTTTTTTCCTGTCCAATTTTCACGTCACTTGAAACTTTAAAGTATTAAGTAAATAACTCTTTTTCACGCCTTCGGGTGTATTGGGCATATAGGGCTAGACCTATATTTTACTGACCCATCGGTACTTGGCTAAGGATGTGGTCAGGATCACGCCGGCCCCCTTTACTTTACATTATTTTTATCCTGTACTCATTTAAGACTGGGTCGATCTGGGAACCAAAAACTTTTTTAGAAACCCACAACTTTGAAATCCAAAGGCGGGCGTCTAGCCACTACATCACGGTTGCCACTTAAAAATATGTGTGGAGCTCTAACAATTACCCGGCACTATAACTTTTTTTACAAGAGGACTCTATATGTGCACATGTTGTTTTTCCTTTTTTTTTTTTTATAAGAGGAAAACAAAATCGAAATTCGGATTTCGCGCTATTCTTTTGCCACTAATAAAACGCGACCCGTCTTATAAAATGGCAGTAGACTTATATATATAATTTTTTTTTAAATTTATTTAACGTATTTCTTCTTCTTCTATCTTTTCTCGGTCTGCTATTTTGTGCAGTTCACTCCTTACTCTTTCCATTTTTTTCAGCGATGTCTCTCATCGTTTCTCCCTTTTTTTATTGAATTTGTGTATGTATTTCTTGTATGTACTTATTCATTTGTTGACCCTGTGGCTACCTGTGCACGTAACATTTTGTTTATCTTATTATCAGGTTTCCTAATGTATGTCCTATCCAGCGCCAGCTTCTTTTTCTCGCCTTTTGATTCACATACATGTGTTTAGTTCTGAGCCAATATCCCACATTATTGTTACATTATGTTAGTAGATGTTGTGATGGTTAAGGAAGAAGTTATTCTGTCATGTAAATTAATTAATATAATTGATGTAATTAATTGATGCAAACAGTAAAATTCATACTAGAGACAACATTGCCGATATAGATAATCTATTTCAAGCGAACGAAAGAAGAAGAGAAAGAATTGATTAAATTCCCACTATTCATTCAACAAAGGCATCAGTTGATATCGTGTTATGGGGCGTCGCAGGTCCACCCAGCCTGAAATGGGTACCAGTATAAATCTCCTGGGGAAGTAAAGACGGCCAGCGTAATGCTGACCACATTACCCACCCAGTGCCGATTGATCTGTAAAAATATGGGATGCTCTTCTCATATACCCGATGAGCCTAAAGGCGTGAAAATGGATCTTTACTTTACTTTACCAGTTGATGAGTGTTCGTAGTAATCTTTTTAATCACACATTAGGGTTCTGTTCCATATATCAGTAATGGTGTGTCTTTAGAGACACCACTTCTAAAGCATACAGATAATCTTGGGTCTTACCAATGACATTAGGAAGGCTTCGAATGCTCTGCATTCTAGAAACGAATGGCGGAGTCTAGAACTGAACCATAGTCTATAAATCACGAAGCATAAACGGCCTAACCACTTTGCTAATCTGTGCGAAACTAAATAGCAGCTTGAAAAGGTTTTAAGTTCCTCGTGAAAACTCGTTTGATGGATAATCACCAGAAACCGGCTACCATAAGAAGAGAAGGAGGAGAGGAGGAGGAGAAGAAGAAGAAGAAGAAGACGAAAAAGAAGAGGATAAAGAAAAAGAAGATGAAGATTATAATGAAGAAGAAGAAGAAGAAGATGATGATGATGATGATGATACTGTTAATGATGATCATAATTAAGGAGAAAAATAAGGACGAGTTGGTGGAAAATGGGGAAGGGGGGGGGTGGGAGGAGCAAGAGGGCGCTGTATTTGCTAAGTATTTATATCACAAAGGAAACGAGCACATAACCCTCTGACCTAGAGGCATGCGTGCTAGCCACTACTCTGTCTTGACTCACTTTTGGTTTTACGAGAGAAGTAGCAATTCAACACATGGTAACTTAATCCACTACGAATCCAGACGAACATTTGAAGACTGGAATTGCTGTAGCAAATTATTTATTTCCCTTTACTGCAAAGCCTGGCAAGTTGAGATCAACCAAGAGGGACTAACTGTCGAGAAGATCTGTTTATTACACAACGCCCCCCCCCCCCTTTCTCTCTCTCTCTCTCTCTCTCTCTCTCTCTCTCTCTCTCTCTCTCTCATAAATACAAAACTAGGGGTAAATAATTATAATATAATTACAAGTGTCGGTATAACGGTGGTTTGGCAATAAACATTGCCTGACGGGACACGGTTTATGTTATTTTGGAAAGAAATTAATACATCACATCAATAATAAATTAGGAACGTTGGCAATCACAGGCACGATAAGCTGTGGAAAAGGAAAAATGAATTGTGGGGGTGGGGGGGGGAGAGAGAGATCTAGTTAGAGCTAGAAGAATAATGATATAAATATTTTTTGTAACGGGTGGAAGGCGGGCTGATGATAAGGAGAGCACAGCACAAAGACGATGCAGTTCTTAAGGGATAAACATTCAATGAATAATTCATTGCTGTAAACGTCTGAATTGTGAGGAGGGAGCTAGGTTCTGTATAGAAAAACACACAGAAAATGTGATGTAAATATGTAAGTCGGTGAATGTAAGGGGAAGGTAGAATATAACAGAGAAGGTTCAGGGGCTGCGTGGTCTAGAGTTATGGTGTCCGCCTCGAATGATAGATGTTCCGGGTTCAATCCTCGGTAAAAGCTGGTATTTTTTACGTGGACTTGGACTTCTAGTAATTTCCGTGGTCTCTGGATCGGGCACATTCTTGCGTATGTAAAAAAATCCCTTGGCAGTTGAAAATCGAAAATAGTAGCCTAACGGCGCTGCACGGGCAAAATTTGGAGTTTAAAATTTACTGGAAGTATTTCTGGATCCACGCCGGTGCTACAGAGCCTTTGCACTGTGCTGAGCTTCTTTGGACTCAGACTTGAGTTAGAAAGAACTGAGCACTTATGGGTTACACCTCTTTGCCATGATGTTGATCCGTTGTTCAAAACGTAAACCTCAGAGAGGGATGTCGTAATAACATCTGTAACATCTGCACATATCAGCTCTCCGTCATCTCTTCTCAAAGTTTATAAAAAGCAGTAAGGGGCGTCGATACTTAGGGCCTCAAACTCCTTGATAACAAAAAAAATATTATTATTATTATTATTATTATTATTATTACACACTTTATGGCTTAACACCTTACGTATCAGAAAGGTTTACATGAGATATAAATGTATAAACAACTAACAAGAAACAACATCGAGTGTTTGAGGTTTGAGGTTTTGACCATGGCTGGCACATCATGGCACACGGGTAGCAACCCATTAGTGCTCCGCTCTACTTCTAACTCAAGTCTGAGACCAAAGAAGCTCAGTACAGTGCACAGGCTCTGTTGCACCGGCGAGGATTTTGAAATACTTTGGGTAGATTTTTAACTCCAAAAGTGTGTTGCTTTCAAAGACGCTAAATACTGGGAAAACCAGATTTTTTTAGAACACTGAGACCAACTGTGAGAAGGACTAGAACATTTTACATGTGAGACAGGTTTCACAGAAGGACCAATTACTTATCACACTTTGTTTGTGACTGATAAAGTAAAGTAAAGTAAAGTCGGGAGATGTGAACCAGCGTCATTGCACACGGTTATAAACCATAAGTGCTCTGCTCCCAGTATGGACAGCTGATAAGAATTATCCGACTTGTCGCCGTTCGCACGTAACTCTGTAGCTACTGCGACGTTCCTCCATATACCCCGGAGTGTCAACTCTGGTACCCATTTCCTAGAGGCTGGGTGAACCACGGAAGCCGCCCGGTTTCGAACATCGACCGTGGGCTGCAACCAGTCGCAGCTGGATTTGAATCCGAGCCTCTTATCGACTGCGCTAACGCGGCCCCTAGTTAAGCTCTTTAAGCCCGCACTGCCTATAAAATTAGTCTGAGGGCTACCCTTTCTTCTGATGCCTTCTTTATGTCGACGCTCCTGGCCTAGTGTCTACGTAATCTAATGCTTTGACAAAACCTGCCATTTTATCTTTTGTCCTGTTCCCGCAGCCAAGAAAATATTGATGGCCGCAAAGAAGTAACCATTATTTATGAGTGTTGCCATGGCTACACGAGGCAGAAAGGCGATTTTGGATGCCCTCAGAGTGAGTTTATTTATGAGATCTAATTTCTGTTGATGCGTGTGTGTGTGTGTGTGTGTGTGTGTTTGTATGCGTCAGAGGATAATCTTTATTATTACAGGCACTATAGGATTGTGAAAGGGTAGTAAGAAAATTAAGTATCTCGGGAGGGAATTAAAAAAAACTGCAACACTGCATGAAACAATATATGAAATATGAAGTGCATAAATGGGGAAAAAAAAGGGGGGGGGGCAGTTTGTTGTAACAGGAAGTTCTAGAACTGAATTGTGGAACTGGAACCAGGAATAATTGTTCAGAATATGTTTTAAACAATATTTTTAATATATATATATATATATATATAAATGTGACCAGTGGCTTGCTCTTTTAGATTGCCAGTTTGTTGCTTTTAAAACAACGGTAGGCTTTGTACTGTTTCCCAGTCTGCTGGATGTGTGCTTTTTGAGAATCTACTGACTTGTGCTCCTTCTTCCTCCGCATCCTTCTTCTTCTTCTTCTTCTTCTTCTTCTTCTTCTTCTTCTTCTTCTTCTTCTTCTCCTTCTTCTTCTTCTTCTTCTTCTTCTTCTTCTTCTTCTTCTTCTTCTTCTTCTTCTTCTTCTTCTTCTTCTTCTTCTTCTTCTTCTTCTTCTTCTTCTTCTTCTTTTTCTTCTTCTTCTTCTTCTTCTTCTTTTTTTCTCCTCCTCCTACTTGTTCTTCTTCTTCTTCTTCTTCTTCTTCTTCTTCTTCTTCTTCTTCTTCTTCTTCTCCTTCTTCTTCTTCTTCTTCTTCTTCTTCTTCTTCTTCTTCTTCTTCTTCTTCTTTTGTTAAAGGGCTGTTGGCATTATGTTATAGGGTTCTTCTTCTTCTTCTTCTTCTTCTTCTTCTTCTTCTTCTTCTTCTTCTTCTTCTTCTTCTTCTTCTTCTTCTTCTTCTTCTTTTTCATCTTCCTCTTCTTTTTCTTCTTCTTTTTTCTCCTCCTCCTCCTTGTTCTTTTTCTTCTTCTTCTTCTTCTTCTTCTTCTTCTTCTTCTTCTTCTTCTTCTTCTTTTGTTAAAGGGCTGTTGGCATTATGTTATATGGTTTACAGCTAAGCACTTTTTGGCACAACACATCCAGTTTTAGCAAGTCTCTAATGAACCGCCTATTTATAACATTCTCTTGAAGGGCCCCTTAAACGGTATCCATTAAAAGTTAGGGCTCCAGAACCCACACGAAGATTAAGTGTTTAAGAACCATAACTTACATCTAGTCATTAAAAAAGAAAAAAATTCTTCTGACTGCACTCAACTCTGTTTGTGGCAGCCACACTGCCTTTGCTTGAGTCAAACTTATTATTCTGGATAACAGTTTGCTATGAGCAGCATCAGCGACAAATCTTAAGTCAGCAGTCTGAAGCTGTATGGATTCTGATCATATTTTAATAGGCATAATAAGGTGTTTTTCTAGAGCAAGCATTAAGTTTAACAAGATCGGTTTATGCCAGTTAGCTTTCTTTGTACTAACTTAAGCATGTCTGGGCTGGAAATATTCAGAGACAATATTGATTCTCATGCTCTTGAGTATAGATACATGAACTCATTAAAATGTGTTGAATTATTTGCTGTATGTATCATCACGTACATACGTCTGTTTTATGGTCAATGATCAAAGCATCATTATCATTGTGCTGGTGGAAAATCTATATGCATGGTAATTATCTTGAGCATATGCAAGGTAATGTAGTTAAACATCAAGAGTAGAAAAATGTATATAAGGAGAATTGGCAACTGTAAACCTCTTTCAACTACAGTGAAAAAGCAGAAAATTCAGTAGTAAGGACATGTATTATATTCTTAAAATCCTCTCCCAAAAAAAATGCTTCTGTCCTCAGTGGAGGGTAAGGGGAGAAGAGGCAGACAAAGAAAACTTAGATACAGAACTTTACTGACTGAACAGGCAGTAGGCATGCATCCGAGAAGTCCATCACATTTAACAGTCACAGGTGAAGGGATCTGATCAAACAGTCAACAGCAACTGGTGACCCAACGACATATAGTGTTACAGGATGATGATGATGACAAGGATATACAGAGGATTGCACATTGAAAGTAAAATTGATAAGACAAAAGTTATAATCATAAAATTGTAAGTGGCAAGAGTATCAAATATATAAATATGCTGTAGGAAATTGTTAATACAGTAAGAATATAATGGTGAACAAAGAACATAAATGAGTTAGTCATTCAAGGTAAAGATGAACTTCAAGATAAAGGTAACAGTTTTTACTTTTTCAGTCCAGATAATGCAAGATATGTTCAATTGTTAGTCTGAAGACAGTACTTGTTTCTGACTATTCTTTTACAGTAAATGGTTACATGAACTCGTTATTTGTGAACTGTAAGTTTTGTTCTGTCTTACCACATTTTCATTTCTTTGGACTAAACAAATGCCAACTGTAAGCTATTTTCTTTTGGGAATAGAAAGAGGTAAAGAAATTACAGAATGTTACCAAATGAGTTAAATGGGTCAGAGAAATTGTTCTTAGACAGTCACTGATAATTGTTTTTGGTTTAAATAGAAACATTGTGATAACTATACTGTTAAAGAAAATATCTTTTTAAAAAAAGTTATGCACAGCTACAGAATGGAACATACAGAGTCATAATTTTGACATTCTAGATCTTTGTAGTTTAATAAGCAAAATTCTCCTGGGAGTGGCTGAAAGATCATGACCATTGGCTAGAGCAAGATCTCCCCAGCAAACATGTTTATGCAGCTCATTCAACATGTGCTCAGACTCATGTCTGCAGACAGCGTTGGCCAGAGAAGAGTGAGAATGGCAGTCAGGAACTGTGTGGTTAGTCATGCAGTATGGTTTCTGGCATTCTCCTTTTGAGAAACAGGCCTTTTATCATCCAAAAATTGAAGGGCATGGAATCGAAGAATTTCATTGACATGTCATTGCATCTTCAAGTATCCTTCAGTGTGCACCAGTTGTCTCCTTCCATTGTAACTGATCGATTCCCACTGTCACATATCGCTCCTGTCGCGTGCCTGATTTAAGGATTTCTCCTTAAGAACCAACAGCACTCTGAAATAATTATGTTCAGTCGTTGGCTCGTATTGGTCTAAGGGATGCCCCGTGGCCAATATACGCTCAACGTATTTCAGGAGTAGGGCAACTCAAGTTTTGGCACTACAAAATATATAATATTCCTAGGCACACTTGGCTGGACACTCCCACTACTATAAAAAAGAAACCCCCAGGTTATGATAGTATACTATCATAGCCATGTTAACACAAATAACACTTATTACTCACCCAAACATCAAAGCTAGACATTTAGAATGGTGAAAAAGGGACACCCAAGTCAGCCATGAAAATTTGTGCATGTAATCAGTACAATATATACACATAATAATGAATAGATCAACAAGAGTTCAGTGAATGGAGCTCAGGAAACATTGACACAACCCAGATATTAAAGCAGCCAGATGTAGTCTTGAGGAGTACATGAGTTCATCATCGGACTGATAAGGTGCTGTGGGAAGAGAGCATGTAATGTGAATAAAAGATCACTTAGCCCAGTTCGTAGGTCAACGCTCCCCTCAGTCCATGGGGATTCGACTGTAGTTGACTCAATCAGTAGTTGGGCCTCGACTTGATCTGGTACAAGCTGACTGTCACAACCGAGGACACAAGAACTACTTAGGAGCCCACCAAAGCTCTTGGAGACTGTGATGCCCACTGCCGGTCTCACAGGTGATGACACAATAACTTCAAAAGAGCCCAGCAAAGCTCTTGAAGACTGGTTCTCTGGATTGATGACACAGGTGTCTGCAATTGTCCACTGGTCCTGGAACTCACAAACAAGCTCTTGCCATGTTGAGGTAGTGGCACATTCTACAGGACTTTTGAATCTGCTTGGTGCACAGAATGGTATAGGTTGGTGGTTGTTGGATGGACTGTGATTCGTCTGCCTGATCTCTAAGGAGGTATCATCCCAAGCTTAGGAAATCTTCCAAGATAGAAATGGAACTTTGACTGCGCCAATTTCTACATAGACTGTGTACACGTCTTGACACTTTGGGATCAGGCGAAAGAATGTTTTTTTTTTCAAAATCAAACTAGTGTCTCTAGGAAAGAAGTCCCTTGTATTCCTGCCCAAGGAGTAAACCGGTTTACAGGAATTTCTAAATAAATTAGCAGAAATCGTCAACCTACAGTTGCAAGTTTGAAAATGAAGATTTATCAAAGCAACTAGAGGGTCTAGAAATGAATATATTACCAGATAAAGGTATATTTCAATATAAGGGACTATATACCCTTCCGGACGGGTTTAAGTTTGAAATTTTTACTGAGCGTGAGGGAAGTCAAAGACGCGACTCGTCCATTGTGTAGGGTTGGCTGCTCACCTCACGACACCCACACAAGTGCACATTCACCACTGTGCAGCAGAGCTTCATCAGCACAACTGTGGTCTAAACGTTCACTTCACCAACGTCATAATGCTGCAACAAAAAGAAAGACTCATCACTAAACCAGACACATCTCCATGAATTGTCAGCTGCCCAGGAACAATGATGCATTCCCAAAAGAAGTTGATTTTGCTGAAGGCTGCATGTAAGGACAAGGACAGTCTAATCTGAACAGTTTGATCAGGCACCTGACATCTGGAAACAATGACTGGCAGTTGAGGAAGATGTTATAGACCTGTTCCTGCAGTGACGATGCTGAATAAAGCGATCACCCGCTGCTATCATCACTCTGGGTCGTCCACTGCGATGCCTCCCTTCAGTTGAGCAAGTGGCTTGGAACAGGTGCCAAAGTTGACTGATGGTACTCTGATGCATGTGTAGATGCCCGGAAACCTGACTTTAACTTGCAATCAGCCAATAACAATGCTCCGTAAATTTAACGCTAGAGACACCATAAGTGTCTGTCGAAAAACGAAATCAGATTTTTGTTGCAGCTTAATCTTTATTCATTTAGTACCTAGCAACTCACTGTGCCTTTCTTTGTTTCAACAGTCATTTTATTCATTTCTGAAGTTCTCATAATCAATCAAATTGTTATGCTCATCACATCTGCCACAACTCTTATCTCAACTTTTTATTTTCAACTCTTCAGACCCATGGTTGGTTAGTTAAATAAATAAATTGTTAGACAAGAACTAGTTAATATAACACCCTCTTGTTATTGAAAGAGTTAAAAAGCTGAAGTAAGACTGACTACCTCTTTTTGTTGAAAAATGTAGTTGCTAAATCAGTCAATCAATAAAAACAATCAATAAAAAGCTATGAAGGGTTTGGTAGGAATAAATAAGAAAAACAAAATAAAAATAACAGCAACAAAAATTGACATTGTGAAACTTTACTTAAAATCTAATTATTTTTTGGATTGTGAATATAATACTGAATTCTTCTGAGATTTGCGCTGCTTTAAACATTTTTATCTTCTTTAAAACTAAATTATTATGTTGTAAGTATTGAATCTATCACTTCAGCTGTTTAGTTCATAGTATTTATTTTTTAATTTTACAGTAATTATTTAGACCTTTATAGCTGTTAGTGGATAAATTTTTTCTCTTTGTTTTTTTGAAGACTGTTTTATTTAATTTTTTTTAAATTTAATATTTCTCATAAGAATGTGGGTTTTTTTGTTTTTTTGTGGGGGGGGGGGGGGGGGGGGGGGATATTAAAGTAATCTTGTCATAATACTTGCACATCATTTTGATTCTTGATTTCTGAGAATTTATTCTTCTAGCATTTAAATCCACATAACTTAAAAAAAACATTATATTTGAACATTTTTTTTGGGAAAGGGGGGAGGGTGGTGGGGTTGATAGGGGTGGGGGGTCATTTACTTTTTTTGTCCAAAAGAATTTAGTTTAGATATAATTGTGCTGTGCCTGTATAAGTATTTTCTTTTTGTTTTTTTTAAAGGATTTTTTTTTGGTGGGGGGGGGGGGGGGGGGGGGGGGGGGGGGAAAAAAACCATATTCCTTAAAACCACATTATGTAAAAACCACATTCTGTAAAACCCCAAATATGAAGCCTGAATTCAATTTTTGGTTGTCTTTGCCTGTATATATTATAGTGTGCAAGAATTATTATCCAATTTCTAATCACAAGCATTTATCCCATAATTTGCTTTTTTATATTATACACAAATTGTTTTGTTGTTGCTTGTTTTCTGTTTTGTATTTTATATCTTTGAGACATCTCCTCTCTGATGTTTTACGTTTATTAAAATATTTGAGTCTCTGTACTTTCGCCATACATACAGTTTCTGTTCATTTCATGGATTATATCCACCATTAACTTTATGAAACAAACATCTGAGATCCCTGAGCCAATCTAAAAAGTAATGGGTCAAATAAAGAAATGCCCCCATAAGCATTGTGTGGATCTGGTTATAAGATCCATTATTGTATTCTTCTGTAGCTTTGACAATTCCCAGCTAGATCTTCCATTTTTTTAAAAATCTTATTCTATGAATCCAAGAGGATTTTAACATCACATGTTGAAAGTTCATAATCACACATAGAAAAATGATAGATATTTTACCAGTTATCCCTTTATGGGATGCAGTTTTTCTTTATCTTGAAGCCCCACCCTGGCTCTTGCCAGGGGCCGCAATATAGCCCGGCCATAAATATGATCTTATGGCTAAATGCGGTTTCCGGGAAATCTCCACGGGTGATCCTTATCCACATGGTAGCACTTTGTGTCATCTGGTGTTTATCGCTTGCGTGATATCCTAGTGGGGTGAAATGTAGTACTACTACTAACGATAGATTTATTTTTAATTTCAAAGAGGCTGCATATGCCCTGTTCCTCTTCTGTATATTATTCCCATCCGAACATAGGCAACCAGTTTTGTTTGGTCGGCTTTTACAGTTAGTTTTTTTTTTTTTTAACAATAAGGTAGCCAACCGTAAGCCTACCCTTAGTTAATTCTCATAGCACGTCTGGTAGTATTCAGTGTCACTAGGCATTGCTTTCCTTAAGGCTTCTGTTAGCACAATGGCAAGCAGATTCTATTCTACATATTAACATTTTTTATCAGATTTGTTTAGTTTCATAAGACCAAATGTAAAATATATCATTTCACAACAAATGGATTGATACACTAAAAGAATAGCTTATCAGAAATGGTGTTTTTGTTAGGGACAGAAATAAAATATAAATAGCTTCTTATTTGGAATGTGGTTTTATAGACAAATGATGAAAATACCCTGGACAAATAAAAAGAGTAATGAGGATGTTTTGAGGGAAACTGATTCATGAAGAGAGTGATCAATGATGAGAAGTGCATTGGACAAGTTACTGGCCTTATCCTACAAAGAGGAAATGCAACATGAAAATGACGTTATGGCAGGACAGAACATGCCAGGCAGTTATCCTTGGTTTCCAGTATCTAAGTTAAAGCACGTTAAATACATGGAGTAGCAATAACAGTGGTCCTGTAATCCCATTTTCTAATGGTGGAAGATGTTCATTAACAAGAGCAGTCACACTTGCCGCCACTGTGGGTTGTAATTCTCATGCATCTTTAAAGTACAGTATAACTCTATTCCTTGGAAAGACATAAAGTGCCACTCAACATTTTAATATCATATGTAAGCAGTAAGATCAGAAGAGCAGAATGTAAGATGGATCTTTGTGTCAGATTCTTAGGTCTCTGATAATAAATCTTGTTCATTCGTTCATACTTATAGTCATCACCTTCCGTTTAATATCCAAGTAAATGTATACATCTGTTCATATTTCCAGAGGTCAGCTTGATGTCCCTGCTAGAGAAAGCTGAGGAACTTGGTTTGACAGATTTTGTTAAGGCAGTGAAAACCCTGAAGCTCACTAAAGAGTTTGAGAAGGGCAACTTTACAGTGTTTGTGCCTGTGAATGGTGCTTTCAGCTTGGATAGTGATCTTCTCGATTCTGGTGCTGGCATAATACTCAGGGTAAATAACTCTATGTTTAACTATAGTAGCTGTAGTTTTTTTTTGGGTTTTAAATGACTATGAGAAGAAAGTTGGCATCCTGCATGTCCTGAACAAGGAGAACTGGCTCGTAAACAGCATCCTTTGCTGAAAGCTGAGGTATTTTGGACACGCTTAGCATTATGGTGGTCTGGAAAGAATGGTAATGGAAGGTGCAGTTTCTGGAAAATGAAGTAGAAGCCGACGACCATGAAAGTGAATACAGGACATTGAAGAGGCATTGGCTATAGAAGCACACAGAGCTGGACAATCAGCTAGAGAAAGAGAAAGAGAATTTCAGGTGTGTTGTGAAGAGAGTGACAATCTATAAAAGACGTGCTGATTGATTGACTGATCAGAAGAAAGGTTAAACTAGTAAATATTCATAAACTAATTGCTACTATAAGAAAGCTGAAATAGTTTGGTCATATTAAGTACCATAGGGCTGATCAAGTCAATATTAAACAGGGAAATATATTTTTCTAATTGAGGTGGGAGCTCTGCTTGGGAAGAGAAGCTGATTTTTTTGGTTAATTATTAAAACTCCTAGTAGACAACACGGTAAAATGTAGCAGGGTTGCATGAGTTAAATGTCATATACCCTAACCTGATGCACAGTTAGTGGCCTATGACAGTTAATGACATAATTCTTCTGGAAGATTCAGATTTTGCTGCAGCCCCTTTGGAACTGAAATAGTTAATGAAGATATTCAATTTTTTTAAATGCTGATGTTGGTTCTATGGCCACATTTTTGGTGAAGAAGAATATGCTCACTGGCCATTTAACAAGCACATTAGAGACAATTAATTAGTTATGTTTCCTTTGAAGTCAGAGTTCATCTGCCGCAGAAGCAAGGAACCAACAGTCTGCATACAAGAACAGATCTGTCAAATGGATATGCAGGCAGAACTCAAGTTTTGGAACAAGAGCAATCCATATGTCAGGGCTATTCAACTAAGTTTACTCAGGGGCCACAATTTTTAAAATGGGAAACGTCAGGGGCCAGAGGCTTGAGCCACAGCATAGAAAAGTCTTTAATACGGTACAACTGGCGGTGATGCGCGGGCCACTTACTTTCCTTACACGGACCAGATCTGGCCTGCGATCCTCCAGCCCTGCCATATGTGGATGAACAACCAGAATTTCCCATTCGATTTTCCAGCCCATGAAAGCTGAGAAGAAGAATAATGAGACTTCAATAGATTTAAAAATGAGACGAAAGATTTCAGTGCATCAAGTTTTTTTCCCACTTTTTTATTTGGTAGTATTCTTTCCCAGTGTCTCACTGCAAGAGGCTGGTTATCTGTTACGAGCATCGTGCAGAAACAGCATCTCTGTTGCAATCTCTTTCAATCTTCTAAAACAAACTGCTGTCATGAACTGAAAAATGCAGTCTGAAAATGAACTCATTATCTTCAGAGCACAAATGGTTTGACCACTTTGCCACATAAATTCCCTGCCAAAAAATGTACTTGCTGAAGGAAAAATATGAATTTAAATTTCAAATGATTAATTTTTTTAAGAGAATGTTCTTCTTTGCACTGGGTTTTATCACAGATGGCTTGGTCTCTCTCTGTGTATAAATCTGAATCTGTAGTGATAATCACCTGGGATCTCCATAAAATGTATACTTCTGAACCAAAAGCACTTTCTGTTAAGCAAACCCACAACATTCAGAGCATAGGGCAAACTGCCTAACCCTTCGCCACAAATACCACAGAGAAAAGGGGACATTACCTTGACTTGGAATCAAAACAAAAACAAAGTTATTGACTATGAAAAATAACCCAACTTTCTTCTTTTGCTATGAAATAGGATGCTCCAGCAGTAATAGCAGTATCAGAGCCAGCCATTGACAAAGCCTTGAAAAGTCTACAGAATGCTATTCTCAGTCACATGGTCGATGGGGCATTTAAGAGCAGCAGCATTGAGGATGAACAGCTTCTGAAGACTGGAAGTCCAGAGGATACAACCATTAGAGTCAACTACTTCTCCAAACCTGAAAAGGTTAGTATCTAAGAACATGGATAGAACAACAATCGCCATGGCAAAGGTGGCCTTTGGCAAGATTAAAAAGATTCTCACCAATAAGAAAAGGTCACTTTCATTAGGAAAAAGAGTGCTAACAAGTTATGTAGATCCTATGTTGTTATATGTATGTGAAACATGGACAATAGGCAGACAAGCTGAAAAATATTAACTCACGTCAGAGATGTTGTTTCTGAGAAGAATGCAGTAAATATCATGGAATGATAGAAAAACAAACAAAGCGGTCCACATCGAGTCCGAAAGTTGTAAACCTGTTGGAACAATTAGATGTAGACAATATTTTTGGGACATATCATGAGAAGAAATGGAATCGAGAACATGGCAACAACTGGCAAAATTGATGGAAAGAAAGCAAGATGAAGGCAAAGAGATAACTATCTGGATGGCCTGGCCAGATGGATACGGCAAGGCAAAAACATTGAACTGATCCGTGATTCTGGAGATCGTGTGAGATGGCGAAACATGACAGCCTATGCTTACTGATACAGCACAGGATGATGAAGAACTTGATTGAATGATCAGGATGTATGATTGCTATACATATAAAAATAAAATATAAATGATGCTTTTCATGCCAGTGTTCTCTTAGGCATATGGTCATAGACTCGTATTGTTTATAGACCAACTGGCTTTCAACTGGTGGTGTATTCAACATTTTGCCAGCCACCTTTACTTCCCGAGACAATTTCTGGTTCCCATTTTAGGCTGGGTTGACCTGGGAGCCGAGAGGCAATTATAAAAAAAAATATGCTACTTGGGACAAATTTTAACTCCCATTGTATATAAGTGATTTAATCACTGTTAAAGAGTTTTGAATTATAATTATTTGTGGCATTTTTGCAGGATATTTATTTTTTTCAATTACTTGTGGTAATTAAAATTGCATATTAATATTACTTTAAATGTATAAAAAATAAGATTATGTAATCTGATTATCACAATCAATTAAAAAGAACATTTATAATCTATTGTATTTAGCACTCGTAATCTCATTGTGCTTTTCATAACAAGATGGTGTTATTGACTCTTGGTGTATGTAAAGTAATTATTGTTACTTATTTAACAAGCAACTAAAAAACCAAATAGAGTCTCTGGAGGTGTGGGTTTACAGAAGAATAGGATGTATTTCAATCTTTGTTTGGAAAGAAACAATCAAATAAACACAGAAGTTATAGCAAGACTGGGAATGAAGAAAGAGTTGCTGAAGGAAATAAAAGAAAGAGATACATTTTAACCACATTAAACAAACTTTTAAAAACCCTAATGCAGGGAAAAGTTGAAGGCAAGGTACAGAAAGGCAGACACTGATATAAATAGGAGGGCAACATCAAACAAATGGATAAACAGTAGTGTGAGAGAGTGTACTACTAAGACAAGAGACAGAGCATGCTAGAGGTATTGTATTGACTTTTATTGTGGAGGTGGCATCTGATTGATTGATTGATTGAATGATTGATTAATCAATATTCATCTTTTTTGTGTGTGTGTGTGCGTATGCGTGCATGCGAGCGCTAAATTAAATATTGGCTGATGTGATGTTTACAACATCATCCACTAAGTGTCAACTGGTCTATAAAATACAGGTCTAGCCCTATATGCCCTATACAGATTAAGGCGGCGAACAGTGTCCTTTACTATCTTTTAGAGAGTACATAAAAGCATAGCAAGAGACAGTTAGTGTTGGAGATTTATTGTGGCCTTACATAAAAGCATAGCAAGAGACAGTTAGTGTTGGAGATTTATTGTAGCCTTACATAAAAGCATAGCAAGAGACAGTTAGTGTTGGAGATTTATTGTGGCCTTACATAAAAGCATAGCAAGAGACAGTTAGTGTTGGAGATTTATTGTGGCCTTACATAAAAGCATAGCAAGAGACAGTTAGTGTTGGAGATTTATTGTGGCCTTACATAAAAGCATAGCAAGAGACAGTTAGTGTTGGAGATTTATTGTGGCCTTACATAAAAGCATAGCAAGAGACAGTTAGTGTTGGAGATTTATTGTGGCCTTACATAAAAGCATAGCAAGAGACAGTTAGTGTTGGAGATTTATTGTGGCCTTACATAAAAGCATAGCAAGAGACAGTTAGTGTTGGAGATTTTTTGTGGCCTGTTTTCACTGTCGAAATGGCAACTTATTAAGTGATAGATTGATTGCTTAACTGATTGAATAGCTGATAGCTGAACATATCTTTTCTGTGGCACTCAGTTGATGACAGCCAACTGTGTCCCTGTCATTTCCCGTGACCACATGGCAACAAACGGTGTCATCCATTCTGTGGAAAAAGTATTGAAACCTGTTACACAGACTTTGTTGGATATTGTACAGTCACGATCAGAGCTGAGCACACTTAAAACAGGTGAGTCAAGCATGGATATGGATATGGAAGGATATGGATAGTCAAGACAGATAACAAAAATATACACTGGTAATGATAGATAATGGTTTTTTAACTGTTAACTAAACTGTACACCAGATGTTGAAAGTCAAGTTAAGTAATACTGCGATATTGTAGTTACATAGCAGTTCTACTGAAGTCAGGCAATCTGTCTATAGTCAGATCCAAATAAAACTGTTACTACGGCCAGTGATATACAAGTTTTACTGTGGACTTCTTAGATACCTGTTTTACTGAAGACTACTTAAATACCTGTTTTACTGTAGAATACTTAAGATGCCTCTTTTACTGTAGAGCCCTAGCATACTTTTTTTTTTAACTGTAGACTACTTAGATACCTGTTTTACTGTCAAATTAACAAAGCTATTTCACTTTAGACTATTTATATCTAAGTGTAGATTCAAACATTGACCACTATGTCACAGCACTACCGTGGCTGCCTAGTGTTCATCATCATCATGTGCCCTGCCAACTGGCATAGGCTCTCATGCGTCTCCACAGATCATGATCTCTGGTTGCCTGGAACAGATCTCTTGATGATATCCCTCTCTGTCATAGTTTCAGCCCATCTAGCAGCATCTCTCTTGTTCTGCCTCTACCCCCTTTTCCACTGATCTTCCCAGTTGTCACGATGTTCTCCAATTGCCAAGTGTTACCCAGACCAAATTAAATATTAGTTTTGGTACATGATTCAGGTCAGCACAGCCTAAAATGGCTACCAGGTAATGTCCTGGGGGGCAGCTGGCATGATGTTGATGGCATTAGCCACTGAGTGCTGATTGGTCCATACAAATATAGGTCTAGCACTACATGCCTGATTGGCCAAAGATATGAGTTGAGTTGAGTCAAGAAATGACATCACAGCACTCGGGGCATTCCCATGCATGCTCTGTCTTTATCTTCAGCAGCCAGTGCAGAGTTCCAATACTGATGGTACCGGTCACAATCTGGTTACAAGAAATGAAAGAATCTTTTACTATTATTTTATTAGACAAATACATTTTACAACCTAATGTTGAAAATTACACTAGCGTAAAAGACATAAGCAGAAACACTGAAGATGGGATTTACTTAAAATACATACTTATCACACAAATTTTATGTCATAATTTGTTTTTAATTTCTTGTTTCCTCACAGTTTTAGCAGCAGCTAACTATGTTTCCACGCTTGACCAGGATGGGCACCTAACTCTGTTAGCACCAACTAATGCAGCCTTTGAGAGCATGAATGCAGGACTCCGAGAAAAGTTGTTGAATGGAGATAGAGCATGCTTGGAGAGTAAGCCGCTGTCTGTGTTTCATTGTATGCAACTGTCTGTTTGTGGAAACTGTCAAAGCTGTGTTTACCCACAAGTTAGTCCCCTCCACTCAGTGTTATATTTTATACCATAAGTTACCTAGTTCCCTCCACACAGTGTTGTTTTATATTTAAGTTACCTAGTTCCCTCCACTCAGTGTTATGTTTTATACCTTACGTTATCTAGTCCCCTCCACTCAGTGTAATATTTTATACCATAAGTTACCTAGTTCCCTCCACTCAGTGTTGTTTTATGCTTAAGTTACCTAGTCCCCCCTACTCAGTGTTATGTTTTATACCTTACGTTATCTAGTTCCCTCCACTCAGTGTTGTTTTATACTTAAGTTACCTAGTTCCCTCCACTCAGTGTTGTTTTATACTTAAGTTACCTAGTTCCCTCCACTCAGTGTTATAACCAGTGTTCTGTTTTGCACAAAACTTATCTATTCCCCTTTACTCAGTGTTCAAGTTTACACAAAACTTAAATAGTCCCCTCCACTCAATGTTATGTTCTAAAAAATGTTACCTTGTTCCCTCCAGTCAATGTTATATTTTACATTAAACTTATCTAGTCCCCTCCACTCAGTGTTCTGTTTTACATGAAACTTATATAATCAGCTTTAATCAGTGTTATTATGTTTTGCACGAAACTTATCTATTCCTCTTCAGCCAGTGTTATTATGTTTTACACACAAGTTATCTAGTCCCCTTTAGTCAGTGTTATGTTTTACACAAAAGTTAGCTACTGCCCTTCAGCCAGTTTTGTATTCAGGACTGTTTTTCTATATTTAAGAATAGGGATGTCGGTACTCTCCATAAAGTGTCTGAAAAAGGCACTGGTACTCTCCATAAAGTGTCTGAAAAAGGCTCTGGTACTCTCCGTAAAGTGTCTGAAAAAGGCTCTGGTACTCTCCATAAAGTGTCTGAAAAAAAGCTCTGGTACTCTCCATAAAGTATCTGAAAAAGGCTCTGGTACTCTCCATAAAGTGTCTGAAAAAGGTTCTGGTACTCTCCATAAAGTGTCTAAAAAAGGCTCTTCTACTCTCCATAAAGTGTCTGAAAAAGGCTCTGGTACTCTCCATAAAGTGTCTGAAAAAGGCTCTGGTACTCTCCATAAAGTGTCTGAAAAAGGCTCTGCTACTCTCTATAAAGTGTTAGAAAAAGGCTCTGGTACTCTCCATAAAGTGTCTGAAAAAGGCTCTGGTACTCTCCATAAAGTGTCTGAAAAAGCTCTGGTACTCTCCATAAAGTGTCTCTCACAGCAGTGCTGAAAGAATGATGCCTAAACTAAACAAAGTTGTCAGTACTGCATCCCATTGCATGTTACCAGAAGCAAGACCTGGTTATGTTGTACATACAAGTTCGTCAACTACTGTTTGGTATTATTTCCATATCAATAAATAGAAATTGATCAATTCTCAGTCAGACAACATTTATGAACAAATATATTCTATAGCAAACAACGAACATGAATTCACTTTCTTTACCAAACAACAAACATAAATTCATGTATTCAACACAAAACAGCTGATATGAATTCAGGTATTCTGTACCAAGCAACATTTATGAATGCATGTCTTTTGCACCAAGCAACACACGTGAATTGTGTATTTTATACCAAACTACAAAATGAATTCAGTAATTCTGCATTATGGTCGTATAACTATGAATTTAAGAGTTGAACTCATTTTAAGGGATACAGCAGATGCAGCAGTTACAAGTCCTCATTTTCAATATGGGCTCCAGGTTTCATTGATTGGAGGAAGTGGATTTACTCACTATCACTTGACAAGCATGTCATAAAGGGTGATGAATTTAGAGTTGGCGGAAATTAGATGTGTTGGCCCTGGAGGAACAGATTTCAGTCAAGCTGTAAACTACAACACAACATTCCAACTGACCCTTTCAGGACAAACTTTTAAGGAGAACATGAAACTACTATTCTGGCAGACAAGTGTGCTAGCCACAGACACTGACAGGCTTTAGATGTAAAGACTAACATTGCTTGGAGCTGAAAGACTTCTCTTTTCCTTCTTGGTGGTCAGTTGCTGTAAATTCTGACAGAAAGTTCTAGTTGTTCATCCACTTCTGGACTTTAGCCTTGTTCCATAACCTGATTTTTGGAATGCATATTCATTTGACACATCCAGCCTATTTGTGTGCAGACTGTTGCTTCCTCTACGCTCAGGTAGATGCACTAAAACTTCAAAGGAAACATCCCTAACTAGTTAACTCTTACAATATGCTTGTTTGGGGGCAGTGGGTCTTAGTAGGTTTCTCTCCCCTCCAACACCTCCACAGAAACGAGAAACAACATGGGGAGAAAACTTATGCAACAGATTCTTCTTTTCAGAGGTTCTACAGAATCACCTGTTGCCCAATGTAATCTGCACTGCTGCCATTCAGGGACAAGCAAGGACTGTGAACAAGCTTGACCGATATGCTAACTTGACCAGAAGTGAAGATGATAAGTTATTTGTGGATGGAGCTCAGATTATTCAGCCTGATGTCATGGCCACCAATGGTGTCTTACATATAATTGATGAAGTCTTGGTTCCCGAAGAAGGTACATATTTTACTTTCACTGAAGAAAAAATAATTGTTTTAATGAATTAAAAATTTGTCTTACACAGATTTAACTAAATTTACAATTATTGTCTGTATATCTGCACCATTGATTGAAAACAGATTTATACTTGGTTAACAATCTCATTTGCCCATGTATCGCTGGGGCCCTGATGGGAAGCAAAGAATAGTGACACTGCACCCTACCAGGCATGTCGTAAAAGGCAACTAAGGGTAGGATTGGGTTTGAGGTTGGCTACATCATCCTGTAAAATCAATAGCCACAAAAACCAACCAGTTATGCAAAAGTCAAAAAGAGAAACAAGAGAAACCCACCCAACCAAGATGAGGGAAGGCTCTTCTAGTAGAAGAAGTATGACACAGTGTTGAGATAGCCGAAAGGAGTCCGGATCATCAATGTACCTACTCTCACCTAGGAAAACCTCCAGAATAGGCACCTGAAATGTTAGAACTTTGTATGATGTAAGAAGAACAATGGATGTAGGGAATGAAACATTATAGGATTCATATTTTAGGATTATGTAAAACACATGGAGAGTGCAGCTATAGAGAGAAGTTAAAATGATGGGGTAGACATGAGTAGAGCTACGTGTGATAGCGAATGATAGAACGTCTTGGTATGAGTAGGTTGAGGGCCTATGGTCCATTGGGGGTTAGAAAGGCAGAGGAAGAAGTTATCTCATTAACTGAAATGACAATTCACCATTAGTGATTGCAGAATATGAAACAGATCGTATGAGAATCAACACTGAAAAGACACAGGTAATGTCATTAGGAAGAAAGAAACAGAACCTAAGTACATCTAGTTCGCCTCTGCCCTTCCCTTTCCTTTTCCATACAGCATAAGACATTCCCAATCAGAACAAAGAAATATCTCATTCAAAATATATTCATTCCCACTCTATGCTACCAGTGCCAAACATGGTCACTTACAAAAATAAACCATAAAAAAAGAATTAGCAACCATGAAAGTTAGATGTCTGAGAAGGGCTGCTGATGTCATTCCATACAAAGCATACACCAAGAGAGAAGAAGAACATAGAACCCAAGACAGACCAAGAACAAGATAGAAAGATAACATCAGAGAAACTCTACAACAGCAATGATGTGTCTATGTTTTAAGGCAGCCAGAAGATCAAGAAAAATGTTATATCTCTCTCAATACCCATAGCGCTAAAAGAGGAAGTGAAGAAGAAGAAGATTATCCAGTTGTGCTGTTAAGGGGTAATACACAATATTGCTATTCCATTCTGTGAAATGAAACATTTTCAATATGATATGTGAAATCGGTTCTTTATTATTATCCTACCCCAGATGACGTCACAGGACAGTCCAACATTTTAGAATGTGGTAAGACTGGGTTTCCAGGCTTTCTGATGCTTTTAACGACCCCAAAACATCTAGAACTGGTCCTGACCCCAACCCACCTACGTCCCACGAGAGTATGCAGCCTAGGTCCCACAACTGCACGAAGCCTAGGGCCCACGACTACATGCAGCCTATCTACCACCCCTTGAAATATTAGACCTGTGGATTTTCCCTGTTTGGGGTAGGATATTAATAAAGCACCGAGAAATCTAATCTGGAATTTCTGGCCTCTCTCTACATTCAACATAAAAAATTTCTCTTAGACATACACACTTCCTATTCTATTCATTTCCAATCTTAAATGCAGTTAGTTGAACGGTGTCAATTTTTATGTTTCGTTTTCATAAATGAACTAATACTTAAACAAGCACAAATAAATGTCCTTTCTAACAAGTCTTCATCTGTTGAACTTTCAGCTTTGAGTATCCAGGATTTGCTGGAGAAGACAAATTACACAGAATTTCTCAGCCTGGTCAAGAAGGCGGGTCTCAGCAAGACTTTGGAAACACAATCAAGTGTGACTGTTTTTGTCCCTACTAATGAAGCTTTTCAAGTGAGTTTTCACTGATGACGAGGATTCATGTATGTTTAATTCACTGACGACAGTAATTCACATATGTTTAATTCACTTAGGGCAGTAGTTCACATATGTTTAATTTACTGAAGACAGTAGTTCACATATGTTTAATTTACTGAAGACAGTAGTTCACATATGTTTAATTCACTTAGGGCAGTAGTTCACATATGTTTAATTTACTGAAGACAGTAGTTCACATATGTTTAATTTACTGAAGACAGTAGTTCACATATGTTTAATTCACTTAGGGCAGTAGTTCACATATGTTTAATTTACTGAAGACAGTAGTTCACATATGTTTAATTCACTGAGGACCATGGTTCACATATGTTTAATTCATTGAGGACAATGATTCACGTATGTTTAATTCACTGACAACAAGAATTCATGTATGTTTAATTCCCTGAGAACAGTAGTTCACATATGTTTAATTCACTGATGACAATCATTCACATATGTTTAATTCACTGACGGCAATCATTCACATATGTTTTATTTACTAACAAAAATGGTTCACCTATTTTTACAGTTCAAAATTATTCTTAGATTTAATCAGTTCACTTGTGGTCTTCATAACAAATTCACCCGAAGGCTTATCCAGACATCAAATGCCCAAAAAAGCTGGAAGTGGCAAGTGAAATGTGCACATATCACAACTTTGCTGTAAACAGAACACAGTTATATTATTGGACAAACAAAGAAGACGAAAACAGCAGTCAAACTAATGTCACACTTGGTCTTCAATAAGCAGTTCACTTTCTGCCAGAGTGTATCATTTGGTTTTCTTTGCCAGATCACTTTAAATATTCCCAAAGATAAGATTACATAGTATAATTATTACAATTATTTACAAAGTACACTTAAAATATATTAAACTTAACAGTCTGTACTCCTATATGTTACAAGATCAAAAACATACTCTGTTACACACACTAACTAGGTCCCTATTCTCTATGTTGACACCTCAGTTCATTCACTCTGCACACAGAATAGCCAACCTTTTGTTGTATAGGATGTATGTTTAATGACTGTTAACTTTTAGAAATAAATATTTTGCACACCATAATTAAATTTGTGTATTACATCATGTTTCAAGTGCCTTGTGACCAATGATTTAGAATATCATTGCTATATACCAGAGTTTTAGTAATTAATCTTAGCTATAAAGGTGTTACTTATTGAAAAAATAAAAAGAGAATTTGTGGTCGAGCATGTGTTCCTTAATGGTGGCAGGTATTTGAATGTGGTTGTTCAACAATTTATGATGTGCCTCATTCTAAAACTGTTAGCAATTTAACCAGTAGAATCAAATCTTCTGATTTGTCATTCCTTCTTTTTCATTTTGTGTGTGGTTATCCTCTTGCTTTTACAGATGATGTTCTGAGATGTAGTGCCAAAGATGGTATCTGATATTGTTGCATTCAAACGAGATGGTGTATTTCTTAAATCACTCTTAAAAATGTATCTGATGCACTGGGTTGTCATTTACAGCCAGGCTGATATATCTGTGCCTTTCCAGTCAGCAAGTAGGATGACAGCCTTTTACACCATGCTTAAGCAACAGTGGGCCAATCCCCACATTGGGCCGGGAGTGCAGAAAGTGGCCAGTGGGTGCTACGGAGGTGGAAGTCCAACAGTTGATTCACGACAATTCACGCCCAGGTGATCTGATTATCTATACAGATGGTTTGGTGTTAAGAGGAAAGAGAAGTGCCTGGGGGTTCGCACTCAACTCAACTGGGCCAATTCCCCCCCCCCTTTTTTTCCCCAAAAATTAAACCTCAGAACTGACACTGGAAATCCAGCGTATACATCGAGTTAAGTTGAGTTGAGTCAAGAATTGACATCACGGCACTCGGGGCATTCGCATGTGTGCTCTGTCCTCATCTTCAGCAGCCAGCGCAGAGTTCCAATACTGATTGTACCGGTCTAAATCTGGTTATATGTCCATCTTGCCTTTCCTCTGAGTGTAGTGAGCCGGCCAGACCCTCTGATTAAACCCAGCTGCCTCATTCTCTCCAGGCCATAATAATCTTGTTACTCCGTTGCTTGTTCCCAAAGGGCCTTGACCACATCTGCCTTGTCATGTGTCAATTCACCACCCAGTGGTATACATCAACAAAACATATAGTATCTAATTAACTCTGTACACTCGAACAACAACAGTTATGTTACCTCTGATTACTCTGAACCTTCACAGGAACTGCCAATTGCTGTAAAGACAAAACTGAATGAGGATGATGAGCTCTTGAGGAATGTTCTGACTTACCACATCTCACCTGCAGTTCAGGAATGCCACCGTCTCCATGACAACCAGCAGATTCCCACTTTGGCGGGTACTGATATTAGAATCAACAGTTACTCTTCGGTATGTTTCAAATAGGAAGGTGTCATTTTGTTTACTGTCTCAGATAATCAGATATATCTCTCAGATTTGACATTTTGACTGAAATGCCTTTTGTTATTGTGTAATGGGCTGGGTTGGGTTCTTATAGTTCAATGCATATAAAATGAACAAAACAATTACTTACTTACTTATTCGCTCTTCTTCTACCTTGGGGTGTATAGGTTTGCCAGAGAGATTGCCAGATGTCTCTATCAGCAGATTTCTTTCTGGCTTTGTTCCATTCCACTCCTCTGTCAGTTAGGGACCTTTGTTCCATTCCACTCCTTTGTCAGTTAGGGACTGTCGGACGTTGTCTTCCCAGCGCACCCTAGGCCGCCCTGGAGGTCTGGTTCCTTGGTTCTTAGCCTCCCATGCCTGCCATGGTGGCCAATTTTCTCTCATTCTGTATACATGTCCAAACTATCGTAACTGTGACTGATCTACTCAGTTTTATAAGGACTCGGTATCAAAACAAAACAATTATTGGTGTAAACTTCTGAAACAGGGCTATTTCTGTTATTTACTGTCCAGAGTAAACAGGAGTGTGAGGAAATGAATGAGTAGGTATTGTGAGGAAATGAATGAGTAGGTATTGTGAGGAAATGAATGAGTAGGTATTGTGAGGAAATGAATGAGTAAGTATTTGTGTGTGTGTGTGCGTGTTTGTGTGGGGGGGGGGGGGGGTGGGGGTGGGTGGGTGATGCTGTCCGACTTTAAGGGAAACTCCTCTAATTAGTCTGCATTTATGATGATTCTTACAGCAGTTAGTTAGTCTTTCCTCTTGTGTCGAGTGCGGCACATAGGGCAGAGGTCATGACTCTCCATGCATGGCGGTCCGTTGCAATCCGTTGTAGGTCTTGGATGTTTGAGTGGCCCATGAGCGAGCCTTCCCTGATGATAGTTCTACGTAAAGTTTCCCTTGGTCTTCCACGAGATCTTTTCCCCTGTGGTGTCCAAATGAGGGCTTGGTAAGGAAGTCTTGATTTATCCATTCTAAGGGCGTGGCCGACATAGTTCCAGCGGCGTTTTCGTATAAAATTAGACACATACTCTTGCCTGGATTCTTGCCTTATTTGTGTATTGGTTCGGAAATCTGACCATTTGAAATTCAGTATTCTTCTAAGGCATTTATTTTCAAAACTGTCTAATTTTGTGTCTAGAGTTTTCGTTGATTTCCAGCTCTCGCATCCATAGGTTAGTACTGGAATCACACAAGAATTGAAGATCTTGAGTTTTGTGTGTTTGCTAAGTGTCTTTGATTTCCAGATGTTAGACAGTTTATTGAAGGCACTAGATGCCAGTGCTATTCTAAATGATATTTCTGGTGCAGTATCTCCAGCATTATTACAGCAGTAATATTTTTAAATTATTTTTTTGTTTTGGGGTGGGGGAGGGGTGGGGGGTCACAAAATTTCCCCTTGGGAGTGGGAAAGTTTAAGCATGAATAATATACTTTCCCTGGTCTTCCTCGACTACTTTGGAATAAACAGTATAATCTCTCTTGTTGTTTTTTTTCTCTTTGCTAGTTTCCATACCACCATCAAGGAGTTAAAACTGCACAATGTTCTTCAATTGTAGAAACAAATATTGATGCATGCAATGGCCGCATAAATGTGATCAAAGAGGCAAGTATAATGTTTGTAACATTACAAATTATTAATATCATTATGGTCGTTATTAGCATTGGGAGAGCTGTTTACTGACATTAATTTTTTTTTTAAAATAGAAAATAAATTAATAGCTTTCTCCTGTGTCATTCTTGAAGCTGTAACACTGTAACACCTATCTATCTATCTTCTTTTACCCCACCAGGACATCACACAAGCGATAAACACCCGATGAGACAAAGTGCCGCCATATGGATGAGGATCACCTGTGGGGAGGTCCCAGAAACCGCGTTCAGCCATTAGACCATATTTATGGCCGGGCTATATTGCGGCCCCTGGCAGAAGCCAGAGTAGGGCTTCAAATAACGAAAAATAACATCCCACAAAGGAATGACAAGATTATTAGTAACTGTAAGACTTCAATACTGTTTCTAAGTAAGAGATTGGGGAAAAGTAATAGAATGGCAAAAAGTCAAGCAGTATCATTAAAGATTAATAAGATCAGATTTGCAGAAAACACTGTGTAGATCTCTTGATATCTGTAATCTGCATGTGCCATGCAGAAAGGCGAAAGCTATCAAGTTCCACTATCTTGAATGATCACCTGAATCATGGATCAGGACAGTGTTCTTGTCCCCCCCCCCCATCCATTTGGCTAAGAATTCAGAATGTTATTATTTTTGCTTCTCACTTGCTCTTTTTCCATGAATGTTGCCAGTTGTTTTCAAGTTCAAATTTACTCCTTCAAACATGTCCGAAAAATACAAGATTCTCTATGTTTATTTTTTCTAACATCAGTTTATAATGTTAATCTGTCTCGGTAAGGACTGTCTCATTAGTTTGCATTCTTCTAAAAACCTTATCTCTGCTGCCAGTAAATGTTTTTTCAGCTTGACATTCACATGCCAACACAGGTTCTACACTGCGCTGTAACATTCTTTTTCTCACTGCAGTGTCTTCTTATTGGCATCTTTTGTGTCTTTTCTAAAGGTCACTTTTGCAGTGGCATTTCTTGTTCTAAATTCCACAAAAATATCTTGCATCAGATGTTACAACTATTTAATAATGGCTATATTGATAGAGTTGCTTTAAACATGTGCCGTTTGCATGTATTTCACAATGTGAATTTTTTACCTGTAAAACCGGTTGGTTAATTAAATAAAAATAACAGAAAACAGATAAATTTAAAATGGAGTGATCAGGAAACTTCACAATAAGTCCATTAACTTGATGATGATAATGAGAATGGTGATAACGATGCTGAACTATGATGATGTTGACAATGATGATGGTAATGACAATAATGATGATGGTAACACAGATGACAACAATAAGGGCAATGATAGTGGTGATAACAGGGATGAGAATGGTGGTGATAACAGTGATGATGATGATGATGATGACGATTATGAAGAAAGATGCTGACCATCTGGGAATCTGTTAATCTGGTAATCTTAGTTTCAGCTTTATAGCAAACGAGCCACCCTATAGTTCCTCCGCTCCTGTGCCAGTGAAAAACACACAGAATGTTTATCACAGTCCCTTGTGGAAATTTTGACAGACTGCTGTCTCAGCAAATGGACTAGCATACACACGCATTAAAAGCATACGGTAGCCATCCGAAGTACTAACACAAACAGTCTGACATTAGAAATTTAGTTCATCATGGATGGTAGCAGAAGTCACCAAAAGATCAGCAGTTGCACACCGATCAATTTTAAACACATAATGGCACCACCAATATCACGACAACTGCCATCTTGCCATTTTCTGAATCAACAATTGACACCACCACGTTGCTCACAGTTGAATAACATTCCAAATGAAATCCGCAGCTCACAGTATCATGCCATGCACTCATCTCAGAAGCTAGGCGATGAAACTATTTCCTTTTAGTCTACAAATGGAGCAAAATGCAACGGCCACCGTCTGGCAGAAGTACAAAAATATTATGCGGCTCCAAACAGTGACAGTGCCTAGCGTCCATTTTGACTGGAAGCTGACCATCACAGTAATGATGTTGATAGTGACAATGATGATTATAGTGATGATGAAAACAATGGTAATAACAACAATGATAATGATAAGCAATAACTATGATGTTAATAATTATGATGATGATGTGAATATAATGATAAAAGTTATAATTACTGATGTTGAATGTGATGTTTTGTATCATAAAGTGCGAGGATCTGACACACACATTCTCTCACTTGACAGGTGATGATGCCACCTAAAGGAAATGTCATCGACATTCTGGCACTCAACAAACAGTACTCTACCTTGGTGTCACTGGTAAAGAGAGCTGGCATTGCTGATGCACTTCAAGGGGAGGGCCCCTTTACTGTGTTTGCCCCCACAAATGAGGTGACCAGTTTTGAAAAGCTTTGTTCAAGACTTATTGTGCAATACTTTTTCTGACATATGTTGAAGAAAGCAAGTAAATACATTTTTCCCCACCAGGACATCACACAGCTGCCTGTGTGTCTACCTCTGTCTCTAACTCACCCTCAGTTCGTCTCTGGCTCCTTCCCTCTCTCTCTCTCTCTCTCTCTCTCTCTCTCTCTCTCTCTCTCTCTCTCTCTCTAAATATATATATATATATATATATATATATATATATGTATATGTGTGTGTGTGTGTGTGCATGCGTGCGTGCGTGCGTTCATGAGAGAGAGAGAGACTATTTCTTAGTATGCTGCAGTTCATGACCTTCATCCACACAAAAAAATTATTTGATAACACCCTGGAGATCCCATTATAACCGCTATAAAAGATATATGATGGAGGGACATCTAATAACCTTATTTACCTCCATTTCTTCATTACTGTTTTTATTTCTACGATAAAATAAACAATAATTAGACATTCCTTTTCTAAAACAGGCCTTTGAAAAAGTAGGCAAGGAGACACTTGAGACACTTGAGAAAGATGCAGACAAGTTACAGGAGCTTCTGAGGCGACATGTAGTTGAAGGTCAGTGATAAACAATTTAGTAGGCATTGACTTGTACTCTTCTTTGTTTTTTCTTTAGTCACTTCAGAGTTCTGGTGGTGAGGATGGGAAGAAATGTAAGGATTATCTATCTGCCACTCCTGATTTATTAAATAATTTGGTCTTCTAATTTGAACTTGCCGTGTGAGTCCTGGAGCCACATTGTTAGGAGGGTGGGGAAGAATAGGCCAACTGCTCCCCTAAAAAGTATGTCGTGAAAGACAAAAAAGTAGGTGTGTTTCCTTAAAGTCAGAATGCATCTGCTTGAGAGGGAAGGAACCAATAGCCTGCATATAAAATGCCAGATTCCTTAAGTCGGAGGGCATCTGCCTGGGAGGCAAAGAACCAACAGCCTGCTTACAAGTAAGCCAGATATGCAAAACCAGTGTACATGTAGAGCCTAAGTTCTAAAACAACACTTGTCCAGAAGTGGATGAACAACCAGAACTTTCTGCTGGAGTTTACAGCTTGTGAACATGAAGAAGAAGAAGAAGAGTAATAGTTGATCTGTACTGTACCATTAAATATTAAGAACATGTTAGAATGTTACATCAAATGCAAATTCACCTCCTCCAAGTTTTTACAGAACAAAATCAGACATCTATATATGTGTTAGTGTTTTAATGCATTTAAAAGGTTAAAAAGGTTAAATAAAGTCAGGATGATTGTCTTCATTGCACTAGGTTTTATCCCATATGGCTTAGACTCTCTCTGCAGAAAAGCTAGCCACCTGCCGAGAGCGTCACATGGAGCACGAACTCCATAGCTCTGTCAATCCCCAGGAATGTTCGTAAAAACTGCACATGAACTGAACAACGCAGTTGTAAAATTAACCACAACCTTCAAAGCGTGAGGGAATCGGCTTGATCATTTCATGGACACCCTCTTATGGTGAGGGTACATACAGCATATGAAGTATTTTCTCCCTCAGCAGTGCAGTGACATGCTTAACAAAATACTGCATGCAATAGACTGAGACTTGGGAGAGTGTTAATATTCGTGGTGTGTATCATTTCCTTTACTCATTTGTTTTACGGACTCAAACATTTCAACATTTTTTTTTTACAAAATATGGTTTCTCATTTGCTTTACAAAATGTAACCTTCCTCATTTCATACAGACAACTTTTCCTCATTTACAAACAAAACAAAAACTAATTCATTAATTTTTATATATATATTTTTTTTTTCTTCCAGAAACCCTCTGCTGTGCTGGTATTTTCAAGCGTCACTGGTTTGACCACTCACATGTGAGAACTCTGGCAGGCGATCATCTTAAATTGTCACGTGACAAGGAGAACAGACCAAAAATTGGCCATGCTCTAATATCCAAGTGTGACCAGACAGCCACAAATGGAAATGTCCTAGAGATTGACAGAGTTCTGATGCATGAGCCACCTCGTCCCCGATGGTGGTTTAATCGCTTTTCTCACTGGGATGACTTCTTTGAACCTTAAAGAATGAACATTACTTATGAAAGCTCTAAAAATTTTTTCTTTGAGAGCAGGTTTATTGTTTCAGAATATCAAAGAAGCACCATTCAGATCAGTATTTTAAAGTTTGTCACTTGTCGTCTTAAAATGTTTGCTGCAGGCAGATATCAAATACATTTATCAAAACAGGCTCGGTAATTAACACTGCTTCTTATTATAGCCTACATTAACTGTCATTTTCTTTACTTCATAAATACCATATCTCAGCCTCTTTGAATTGCTTTTATATTGTCAGTGATTCTGTGTTATCCTGTAATTATAGTGAGCAGTTACTGAGACCTGCTATTATTTGTGGATGGGTTCTGAATTACATAAGATATTCTTGCTTTTTTTCAGATGGAAATGTGGTTTATTGTCATGTAACTGCTGAGGTTTTTTGCTGTTTGTAAAATTACCGTCTTATTTTTCTCTGTTTGTAGTTGATCTTTTTTAGCTTTTTTTTAATGTAAATACTACAAAATTCTAAATTTATGCTTCAAATTTAAGCTTTCAGAAATATGGTACTCTTTCTGTTTGTTGTCACTTGGTCAAAACATTGATGTAATGTTGCATGTATGATTTGTGCTTGTATTTTGTATTTTTCACACAAATAAAATATTGTTTGTTTTTAAACTTGTCAGTATGAATTTGATTGGGTTGGTTTGCAAGGAACAGACTTGTCTGATTGTTTCACTATTCTCTATGTAAGGTACTTAAATTCTACAAAATTAGAGAAATATAATTAGTTATCTCACCAGATAAACTGCAATCACAGATGACATAATAAAAGTTGCTGCTAACCTTCAGCATATAACAATGTGGTCAGTGAGTTTTAACTCTTACCCCACCCTCCCCCCTTCCAGTTCATCATTACAGTCAAGATAATGAGATCCATGCTATTAATCTGTACCACCTGTCCATCTATCCCTCTGTCAGGGCAGTCCATCTATCCCACTGTTTGTGTCATCAGTCTATCCATCTGTCGATGCTTTCCATGCTATCCATCTCTCTGTCTGCCCATGCTGTCTGTCTGTCCATGCTGTTCATCTGTCTGTTTGTTGCTACTGTCCGTCTATCAATCTGTCATTGCTGCCCCGTCTATCCATCTATTATTGCCGTCCCCGTCTATCCATCTATGCCATCTATGCTATGCTGTCCCCGTCTGTCTGTCTGTTGTTGCTATCCCAGTCTATATGTCATTGCTGTCCCTGTCTGTCATTGCTTTCCCCGTCTATCCTCTGTCGCTGCAGTCCCAGTCTATCCACCTGTCGTTACTGTCCCCGAAAGTCTGTCATTGCTGTCCCCATCTATTTGTCTGTAGTTACTTTTCCCGTATGTCTGTCGTTGCTGTCCTGTTCTATCCGTCTGTCATTATTGTCCCTTGTCTATATGTCGCTGCTGTCCCAGTCTATCCGTCTTTCATTGCTTTCCTAGTCTATCCATCTGTCTGTCATTGCTGTCACAGTCTATCCATCTGTCATTGATGCCCCCATCTATCCGTCTGTCATTGCTGTCCCAGTCTATCCATCTGTCACTGATGTCCTTATCTTTCTGTCTGTCGCTACTGTCCCGGTCTATACATCTGTCGTTGCTGTCCCAGTCTGTCTGTCTGTTGATACTGTCTACATCTGTCTGTCGTTGCTGTCCCAGTCTATCCATCTGTTGATACTGTCTACATCTGTCTGTCATTGCTGTCCCAGTCTATCCGTCTGTCGATACTGTCTACATCCGATAGTCGTTGCTGTCCCCATCTTTCTGTCTGTCATTGCTGTCCCAGTCTATACGTCTGTCATTGCTGTCCAAGTCTACACGTCTGTCATTGCTGTCCACATCTTTGTGTCTGTCGTTGCTGTCCCCATCTATCCGTCTGTCCTTGCTGTCCCCGTCTATACATCTGTTGTTGCTCACCACTTGATGTTATTGTGCATCTGTCCTTGCTGTCCCAGTCTATACGTCTGTCGTTGCTCATCACCCAATGTTACTGTCTGTCCTTGCTGTCCCTGTCTATACGTCTGTCGTTGCTCACCACCCTATGTCCTGTCCATCTGTCCTTGCTGTCCCAGTCTATCTGTCTGTCGGTGCTGTCCACCTGATTTTACTGTACATCTGTCGTTGCTGTCCGTCTGTTGGTGCAGTCCACCTGATGTTACTAGCCCTCTGTCTTTGCTGTCCCAATCTATCCCTCTGTCTTTGCTGTCCCAATCTATCCCTCTGTCTTTGCTGTCCCAATCTATCCCTCTGTCTTTGCTGTCCCAATCTATCCCTCTGTCGCTGCTGTCCCAGTATATCCATCTGTCTTTGCTGCGTACCTGATTTTACTGTCCGTTTGTCAGTGATGTCCTCTGTCGGTCTATCCAATGAAATGCAGTGTTATGAAGAATGTGTTTTAATAGTGAGCAATTTTCAATTACACCTCAGTCGTTACTATTAACAACCATGCTCTGAAAAGCCAGCTTGTTGTTTTCGTCTTACAAAGAGTCAAAAACACAAGTAGTGAAAAGGGGGGGGGGGGGGAGGGAGGGGGTTTATAATCCTTATCATCATCAAGTGCCTTGCCGATTGGCGTGGGCGATCATGTCTCTCCTCTATCTGCGATCTGCAACTGCGTGTATTAGTTCGTGTGCTGACATTCATCCATGCCATGACAAATGACTGCCAAGAATCTTCGAACACTGTCTTCCTCTGTCTCTCTTTCCACAGATCTGTTCAGTGGTCATAACATGCCCCTCCCCCCCCCCCCCCCACAAAAAAATAGTCTCTTTCTGTTTGTGATAAGTTATCTTCGAGCATTCGCTCTTTCAAAAGAGGCGAATATATAATAATCTCGTAAGATTAATAATAGTAATAAATGGATGAATAGCAAATAAATAAGATAATATATTTGAAATAACTGGAAATGTATAAACAAACATGTAAACGGAGTATGTCTCCACGTGTACACGGGGGAGGGGGGGGTTTACTTTGCGCAGGTTTTATCCCAGATAGCTCGGTCTACCTCGGGATATTGCCTGACTGCACACTTACAGCTGTAGGTAAACCTTACGAAGATCTCCCCAAGTAAGTTAGCCCCGCCTATGTACACACTAGGTCACTTTAGATTGGTGCTTGCTCAGGCTTGTCAACTTTGCTGAATGTTACGGGGGTGTCCCGGTGTAATGTTTGCTAGGAAAGTTTTCTGCGCTGTCTTCCATTTATGTTTTCATTCCGAGAAAAAAAGAATGCGTGCGACCTAGGTTGCAGCATTCTCGAAAAAGGGGGACAGGGGGGGGGGCTGTGTTTTGGCCAGTCCTGCATGGTTCACACCCAGGGGTAGGCAGGAAAGCCACATTTATCCCAGATATACGGTATTTCTCATGGAATCAAGTCCGAAGGGTTGCGATATCCATAATACCGAGCCTAAGGGTTAACAACTTATGGCTTCTGGATACTAAAAAAAAAAAAAAAAATCACACGCATTTTTTTTCTCGAAATGAAAACGTAAATGGAAGACAGCGCAGAAAACTTTCTAGCAAACAGAACACCGGGACACCCACGTAACCATCAGCAAAGATGAAGAGCCTAACTAACTATGAATTAAAAGTGACCTAGTGCGTAAATGGGCGGAGTTCAGACAAGACTTCTCGTGTAGTTGGTATGCTTCTCGTGCATGAATATGTCGATGTTTCCTCCAGTTTCTTGCATTCTTGACAGCTTTTCGGACGCACTACAACCAAAATTATTCCATCTTCATCTCTCTAAGGGAATTAACAATATCGCACGATCTAAAGGCTGGCCGTGACAGAAAAAGCCAGTCTGTCAGCCCTTTAATGACTAATAACACCCCCATGATCTGAGAAAAATGAGGGTAACTCCGTGCACGGTGGAAGTTTACAGTGACACCGTCTGCGTATGAAACCTGCATTGACACGCCAGATCATGTTGACAGAATAACTCAGTTTACCCATTGGGATAGCATGACAATTCTAGCCACTCTCATCATGTTGCTGATCGTCATAAATAAAGCACTGCTGGACCCATAGACTGTTCCCCCTGCAGAGCTTGCTATGTCTTTTCCTGCTCTGTTGTGTCCTCCTGCAGCAGACCCATCTGATCAACACATCGATCTCATCTTAATTATCACTGGATAATCATTGGACTTCTGAATTGACCGCAATAGGACTCAAGTTTATTCTTCCCTTTAACACCACGAGTTCCACATTATTTATAATTCCACGTTTGTTTATTTAGCTAATACTTTTGCCAGTTGCAACAATATTATATTTTTGTAAATTGCAACCAGAAGATGAAATAAACAGACTAGAGCAACCACAGCCAACCTAAACCCAACCCACACACAGGCACTGTGGATGTTTATGCCTCCTCTCAATACCACAAGGTACAAACAGATCGAGGTACAATGATGACGAGCTGACAGTCTAAATGACAGATGCTCATATCATTCAGCGCATTGACAGGTTTATCTGTCCTCTTTATCTTCAATGTGTGGACACCAGCTATGATGAAGCAACTATTTACTTTATCACCGAAAGTGACATCAGTTATTTGTTTAGGTAATCATTTAGATACATGTTAAAGATAAACGCTGTTCATTCTAAAACGTTCAGTTCTCAAACATGTGTTCCTGACACAAGGGCACATAAGGAAAGAAATTAAGTTGTATGTCGTCCCAATAGTTAAGGTTGGTTCCCATTGGTTATACATACTAAAATCATGCACACATACTCCTACTCAGTCATAGAATGAAAAACATCAGAGCTTTTGAACTGAACTGCTAAATAAAATATGCTTAGAATACCATGGTCCAGGAGGACAACCTACATGATCGGAGCATCGAAGGAAATTGGCTCCTAAACAGCATCCTGTGTCTAATGATGAGGTATTTTAGGTATTTTATCCATGTTAAACCTCATGGTGGCCTGGAGAGCACAGTAATGAAGGGTGCAGTTTTCAGAAAACGATGCAGAGGCAGACCTGTGCCAAGGTGCATTCAAGACATTGAAGATGCATTAATGACTATTTGCACATAGGGCTGGAGAATAGTCTAGAGAAAAAGAGACTTTCATGCGTGCCGTGACGAGAGCGACGTTCTGTACAGAACCAGCTAACGGATGATGTTAGAGATGATGATAGTTAAGTAGAAATAGAAAACTACTGAACGTAAAAGTGGCGAAGTGGTCAAGCCGTTTGTCTCGTGATCTGACGGTCCTGGGTTCGTTTACCTACTGCGCCCTTCAGTTCACAAATGTAATTTTTACTGAGATCCCTGTTGATCGTCACCGGAGCTACGGAGTTCGTGCTCTGTTCTGCGTTCTCTGCAGGCGGCTATCTGTTCTGCGGAGAGAGAGACGGAGCCATATAAGATAAAACTAGGTGCAATGTAGTTGATCCTCTCGACTTTAACCTTTTAACTGAAAGCAAAAATCACAAACAGCCAAACAAGCTGTGGTTGGTTCTGCAACATTTTGTAACAAATCCGCAGTTAACTTTCCCCATTTCCCTGCTGCGTCAGTCGCGTCAAAGATGCCCTCTTAATTTTTTTTTAAAGAGTGGGTGGGTGGGGGGGGGGTGGGGGCTAGGATTGTACTTCACTAATCCCCGTGTGGGTTCCAAGGTCCCGGTATAGGTAAAAAAAAGAATAGACCCATTGACCCCTAACCCCTCCCCCCCCCCCCCAAAAAAAAAAAAAAAACACGTAATATTATTCGACTAATTGCAGAACTCCTTCGAAGTTTGAGTGCATCTACGTGAGAGCTAAGGAACCAATAGCCAATATGTAAAACGGATCTGCACGCAACATTCAGGTTCTGGAACAAGACCAAAGTCTAGAGGTGGACGAACAACCAGAACTTTCCGCTAGAGTTTACAGCTTGTGAACGCGAAGAAGAAGAACTCTGCTTCACAAGTGTAAGTGGGAGAGAATGGGAGGGGAGGGAGTGGCAATTTTCCATCAATTTAAAAAGAAAAGGAAAAAAAAAAAAAACATGTGGTGAATCAAAATAATAGCATGATATAGAAGCCGGCGTCATACTTATTAGCTTAAAACCACTGCTTGATCATTTACATTTCTCACCCTGTTAATCAAAATCAAGTGTGCTTTATTGTTTCAAGTTACTTGCCAGTTATTTGAATGTTGAATTAAGAATCGACATCATAGCACTCGGGACACTCCCATAAGCGCTATGTCCCCATCTTCAGCAGCAAAGAAGAGTTCATATTCCGATGGTATCAGTAACTGTTTGATTGTATGTCCACCTCACCTTTGCCCTGAGTGTTGAGCGTTTGCCAGATCCCTTGGTAACTCCTCGCAGCGCCATTCTTTTCAGACCGGAATGATCTGTCCGTGCCTCCGCGCTGTTCACTCGCTCCCAAAGGGCTCTCGCAACATCTAGCTTGTCATACATCAGTTCACCACCAAGTGGTGCAGAACCGGCGAGTCTCTCTGCCTCCTCATTTCCCAACACACCGTCAAAACCTGGAGAAAATATCCAAAGGATGCTAAATAGCCGGGACCTCAGAAGTGACGCTTGCCACTCTGCATGGAGCATGCCTGTCTCCACCTGTTTCAACATGCTCGGTGAGTCAGTTACAATCACGGCATGTGTCTACGGCTAATTCTAAAGCTTGCCAATTATTTTAACACAGCTTTTATTCTCCTCGTGTTTTCTTTCTACTTCCTTCTTCATTTCTAAACAGCACTTTTTCTCATGACTTCCACGTTTTGTGGCTATCATTGAAAGACTCCGGTCCAATTGCTTTTGTAGGGCTTCCTTCCCTTTTTTTCACCCCTGCTCATGAGCACCCTAGTCATACGGCGTGTGTTCGGTGACTTCAATTTATTGATAACCAAACGGCGAGAAGGGGAAGGTGAAAGATAATTTGCAATGAACATTTTATGATTCTTATCTCTCTGTTCGTTCTTTTCCAAAGTCATTGTCACGTGTCGAGGACGTCACGTGATTTGTCTATGACTATATGAGACAAGCATCATGTGACCTCCGTCTCACTCAACATGGCGATGTTAACTGCTTGTGCTCTTCTTTGTTTTAGTAAGTGGTATACATAATACAAGAAAATGTATGAATACACATGATAGTTGTTATTTAATAAACGTTTTATTTGCTCAGTTAATACTCATATTATCATAGATATTTTAAACTCTTTAGTGCAATATTTTTTTTGCGAGACTAATACAGTAATAGACTAGAATAATATTATTAGTTGTAACAAATGTAACTAGTGTAAAAAGTAATTATTTGAATTTGATTTTACTATCAGATAACATAATTCGGCTTACCTCCGAATAACGGCCACATATTATGACTGCCCAAAACAAGGCCTCAGTCACATGTAAATTGTGGACTTCCGGCGACTATCTATACCGCCACCGCCGAGAGTGTCTCCCACGCCCCTACGTGCGGCGTTGATTGGGGCTAAACTAGATGACTGAACTCATGAACAAAGCTGCAGGAAATGCGGAAGCTGCTGCTCTTGAGTCCCTGCCATCTAGTTTAGCCCCAATCCACACCTCGCGTTTTTGACGTGGGAGGTACTCTCGGCGGTGGTGGTAATCACCGAAAGTGCGCAATTTAAGTCACCGGAAGTCCGCAATTCACATGTGACTGAGGCCCTGTTAGGGTGTTTTTGTGGCCGCCATAATATGTGGCCATTATTCAGAGGATATTCCATAATTCATAATTAGGCTATCCTCCGAATAACAGCCTCATTCATGTGTCAATTATGGCCTCCAGGGGACTATACAGCCACTGCCAAGAGTATCCCTTATGCGGCATGGATTGGGGCTAAACTAGATAGCTGGGAATCACGAGCAAATAAAATGAAGGAAGCTGCAGGAGATGCAGTAGCTGCTCCTCGTGAGTCCCAGCCATCTAGTTTAGTCTCAAACCATGCCACGTGAGCGGCATGGGGGATACCCTCGGCGGTGGCGAAAGTCACCGGAAGTGCGCAATTTAAGTCGCCAGACATGTGACTGAGGCCCTGATAATTTTGGACCATTGTTCAGAGGATAGCCCATAATTATTATATACATAGGAAAGGTTTTAACTATAAACTTTTCCTGAGTGGAGTGAGAGACCTAGTGCCTAATTTGGCTATCCTCCGAATAATGGTACCAAATTATCGAGGCTAAGAAAATACCCTAACAGCACCTCAGTCATATGTAAATTGCGGACCTCTTTCCGGCGACTACACCGCATACCGCGGAAAAGCTTCCGCCGAGTAAAAGTCACCACCGAGAGTTTCATAACACCCCTGCAACATAGGAGAGGCCCTATGACCCGGCGAGGCATAAATGCGAAGGGAAGTCACTCTCTTTTTGTAGATCAAACGTTACTTGTACCTGATATGTTAAACATATGTCAGTCCTTGAGTTGTTGACATTTAGGCCCTCCATTCAGCTTTTCTTAGTTTCTGTCTAGGAAAGGTATAAAACCAAATGAAAAGTAGATCAGTGAGCTTCACAATATTATGAACACAAACAGAAAGTGGTGAACGTTGTGGCTACAGAGCCTTCATCAGCACACACATAAATCAAGCATATCCACACAAATACACATAATCACTTAACTGATGTATCCTGAAGCAGCCACGGTGATGTAAAAAAAGGAAAAAGCGGCTAGGAAAACATTGGGATTTACATTGGAAGCCTAATACTTGGTGGAGGGCCGTTACTCCATTGGTAGGCAACAGAAGATCACTTTTATGTAACCCCTGATGTGCTAACATGCAAGTGCACATCCATGCACATGTGTACACACACACACACACTAGCTTGGATTTAGTCATCATTCAAAAATTTATTTTTGAACAAATAAAACATGAAAACAATAGATTGCACAATTTATTGTTTCACATATTGTTGATGTATCTCATCAAGTGCGTACTTCAGTAAAACTGCATGAAATAAATAAAATAAATTGATCCCTTATATCAATGAAATACATAGTCAGCCACTCTTGAAAATAACTAATTATGCAGTCTAATATATTTGTATGCCTTCTTTGTTCAAATTGACAATGGGGAAACATTGCTTTGTAATTTATTCTTACAAATGTGAACAGCAAGAGCAGCTGTAGAAAATTCACCTGTAAAAGAAAGACAATTCCTTCTATGGTGTCATCTCTGTTGCACTTACAACATTGATTATACTTATTTCAGTTGCTGTGTGCCAGGGTATAAACCCCCCAGTTTACAGCAAACCCTACAGGCTCAGGGCTGAGATTCGCTTACCATATGCAGAAATAGTCGAGCCTATATTTGCATTGTTTGATCCTGTTAACAACCGTAGCAGGGTGGACTATTATGATGGTAAGTAGCTGAAATTATCAACACTTTTTAAATTTTATTCTCTACATATCATATTTGGTTGGAGTGTAATGGCTAGACATTTGCCAGCTGGTCCAAAAGTCTGGGGTTTAAAATTGTACCAGACGGGTTTTGAGGAGGACAAAATGACATTAATTCATGGGCGAACCCAGCCTGATGACATGTGTTTTTTGAACTGACCGAATTATGTTTTATGTACTGCCTGGTAATATGTAAATATTTTTTTGTGTACTATTGGAAGTGTGTTTTATGTACTGCCTGGTAATATGTAAATATTTTTTTGTGTACTATTGGAAGTGTGTTTTATGTACTGCCTGGTAATATGTAAATATTTTTTTGTGTACTATTGGAAGTGTGTTTTATGTACTGCCTGGCAATATGTTTTACGTGCTTTTGGAAACATTTGTTTTATATACTTTTTTTATTTTAACCCTCTTAGCACGGACGGGCCGATTATCGGCCGGCGGATGTCTGGCCAAAAACACGGAACAGCCGATGATCGGCCCGATCGTGTTTCGCCTCGAACCGCTAAGAAATCTTCTACTTTGAAACACTGAAAGTGATTCATTTATATGAACTGCGGTATCAGCTTTACACATGGCGACTTTCGAGTGTTTGGTATCGAAGTGAAAATTGTTGTTGAATTTTTTAGATAGTGACCTGAACCGCTAAAAGTATGTCTGACTCGTATGTTTCTGCCCCTAAACTTGATGTTGATAAAACATTTGAATCAAGTGATGACACTAATTCTGTTGATACTGATGCAAGATTTAGTGTTAGTAGTAATAGTGGGAATCAGATGGGGACGCTGTTGTGTTCAGACCACAGCCCAACCATGGCTCAGGGTATATCCACCCGAAGATGTTGACACTTCGGCACATCCATTTCTAGTGCTAACTGATGGTGAAAAACACATGTCACCTAAAGATATTATTGCTGTTTCACATATATATATATACCTGTTTTTGACTATTGAATTGCTTACAACATTTGTAAAAAGGCCAAGGATCAATAAAAAGATTTCAAATTAAAAAAATTTTTGTTTTTAGTTTTATGTTTCAAGCATTGAAGTTGAAAATTCAAATTCATATTTTCTATTTTTAGATATGCAAATGAGATAATTTGCATATACATCAATTAATTTTAACGATATTGTGAAAATCACGAACTTCAATCTATATCCTTCAAATAGATATATTATTTCATAGGGGTCAGAATAACAAAAATCTGTCAAAAAAATTAAATAAAGTAATAACCAAATTCACTGAAAAAATGCTCTGTGTTTTTGGCTAGACCTCTGAAAAACTTCCTGTGCTAAAAGGGTTAATGTGTGTTTTGTGTACTGTTGAAAATGTGCTTTAATGGAGTCTTCATGACCAATTTGTCCATATGCTCTGAAGGTCGTGGCTTAAATTTTGGACAACTGCATTTAGTTGGCAGGTGTAATTTAAAACAGAAATCATCTCTGGAGCTACGATGTTTCTGCTTGTTATTATATTTCTTAATTTAAAAAAAAATACTAATTCATGTGAACAATCATTTCTATCTTATTTATATCATAAATATTCTAACCTGGGAAGCCTGAATAATTTAATCCAGGTATTCAGCGCACTGTTCAGCTGGCATCAGCACCGGGTCTTCCCTATGGAGCAGAGTTCAAGGTCATTCCATTCAGCACACAGACAGTTCTGAATCAGCTGAGCTGTTTTCAAGCAAATGGATCTCAAGATGCTCCCACTGGGATTACTACTGTTCTACCTGACCTGACCAATTTTACTGTGAGTAATTATTACTGCAGATGTGTGGTTTTATAGATGAATGTTGAGATCACTATGTAAAGATTAAAAAGAGTAATGATGTCTTGCAAGAAACTGACCTACAAATAGATCATATTGCCAGTATCAGAAGGAGATAATCTGCATCTTTTGGTCATGTCATGAGAAGGAGGCAACTTAAGTACATCATGCTGATGGGAAAGATGGAGGGAAAAAGAGGCAGGTGGAGACCAGAAGGAGAAAATATGCTGGGCACTTTGTCATCATAGCACGGAAGATCATCTGTCAGAATTGATAGAAACTACATGAGACAGAAGGTTGTGGATCGATGTGCCTACCAACACCACACAGTATGGACTAAGAAGAAAAGATGTTACAAATCCTATGTTGAGTTGGGGTAATCATGCAGCAGCTTACTGCTCAACTCCTGTCACACAAAAAGTTATTTCAAACATGCAGCAGAGATCTGCATTAGCACAGGAGCATATTGCTTGCCTGCCTGCCAGCCAAAAGTCTTGGTTCATATTAACAATTAGGTGGATTTGTACAGTCAGCTTAGTGCAGACATGGTTAGTGCCTTGTGGGAGAGCATGTACAGTTCGGAGGAGCAGATGGATCACCACAGTCTGGTGAGATTGACACAGGGGGGAGTGAAGAGAGGTTATGGCAGATGCTCAGAGGAAAGGCAAGACAGACGTTTAATCAGAATGCTACTGGTACCATTAGTATCAAAGCTCTTCGCTGGCTGCTGAAGATGAGGACGGGGCACTTATGGGAATGCCCAAAAAAGCTGTAATGTCGGTTCTTGGATCAAATCAAATCTTAGTGCTCTCAGGTCATGGCCATTACTGCCTGTAATTACCACTTTTGCAGTGTAGGAAGTGGGTCTTTGAACCTGAGGATCTAAGGTTGCATGGCTAGTTCTGTCACCACAGACTGTGCAGGATAGGATTTGGTTTATGCTCTCAGGTCAGGCAGTCTAAATATCTGTTTCAGGGCTGATTTCTGTAAATGAACCAGGGCTCCCAGGTCAACCCAGACTAAATGTACTTGCAAATGCCTTAGGAAATAAAGGTGGCCAGACTGATGATGAACACATTACCACCAAATGCATTTGGCCTATAAAAATGTTAGTTCAGCACCATCTGCCAGATGAGCCAGTAGTATGAAAAGGGTCCTGCTCTTTACTTTTCAGCGGTTCTAGTTCTAGTTAACCATACTAAGCAGCATATTGTGAGTGGCAGCATGGGAACCTGGAGGCTTAGCCACCATGAAGTCTTCCCACCAATGTTTCTTTAGCCGGCAGATAGATTAGCTGTTGCCCCTCCTCTAGGAGGTGAGCTACTATAAAATAAAGTGGATGTAATTGAGGCTTCAAGGCAGGGCTGTTCAGCTGAATTTACTCAGGAGCCAAACTTTTGAATATGGGAATCATCATGGGTTGGCGGCCCGTGCCCAAGCATAGAAAGCTTGTTAATACAGTGCATTTAGCAATGATCCATGGGCCACTTGCTAGGCAAGTGGGCTAACAGATGAGTAGCACTGTTGAATGGGATCAAATGGGCAGTGCAACAACAACAACAAAACAGATATTGAATCCGTATATTGGAAGACTTATTTAACATGGGGTGTGTAGAAGTTCAACATTGAAGAGCAAGCAGGCAGGCTTTTAATCAGCTTGCTGCTGGTAATAATAAAATGTCAGTTCTTTGTTGGCTACTGAAGAAGGGGACAGAGCACATGTGGGAATGTCCCGAGTGCAGTGATGTTGATTCTTCATTCGTTCCTTTTTTTCTTATGTATATTTGCTTTAAAGACATAATAACAATAATAACAACAGTTATTATTATGGTGCATTTAAACAAGGCTTAGAACCATTATTGACACCCCCCCCCCCCCCTTTTCCATATTTTCATGTGTCTGAGCCCCTACCTAACTTTATGGCCAAACACAGTAAGTTGCACAGCTTGTGTCCTGTTTGCCTGATAACACACCAGCTACTTTATGGATGGCCACTTCTTTGTGGTCTCACAGTCATCTTACATGTTTGTTGGTCACCAGTCACATATCTGTCTCGCTGGATGCCTAACTCTCACATGTGACATTAACAGCTGTCTTATCTATTGACATAATTAACCTCAAGTGGCTTTATTATTTTTTTTTTCAAGTGCTTAGTCAGATGGTGCAGATGTTTTAGCCACTTCACAGCCTTCACCACAACTACTCTGTTTATTATCCAAATCTGTAGTATCTTTTCTCTTTACTGTCTTCCATCTCTTAGGTGCTTACCATCCTCATCATGTAGTGATTTGCTTGCAGAATACCACTCTTATCTTAGGCTTCCAGCAACAGCCAAGGTTCTTTACTAGTTTATCTGCTTCTTGCATTTTCATGCCCAGTGTTTCTTTATTTCCTGTGGCTGATGCTATGGAGGTGTTTTTCCATAACTGTTTTTTCTCTCCATGACTTTAAAAACTTATTCTATCTTTTTCTGCGTGGAGGAAATTAAACATTTAAAAAAGAAACAAGACCTCAGTACATTGAAGGGATTAAACTCATGCAAGTGAAAGAAATGAGACCTCTCTCAATGTGGGTTCCGAGGCCTCATTTTGTGGGGGAAATGATAAATACACTGCCCAGTAACAAGGATTTCGTAAAAGTCGACTGGGGTGTTTCTTTCAAAGTCAGAGTACATATATCTGAGAGAAGAGAAACCAGCAGTCTGCATAAATATAAGCCATTTTTGCAAAAAAAAACAGATGAGCACACAAAACTCAAGTTCTGGCACAAGACCAAAGTCTAGAAGTAGACAGACAACCAGAACTTTCTGCCAGGATTTACAACAGATGAACACCAAGAAAAAGAAGCAGAAAAATTAGATTTTAGCACATGAGTGGAATTATTCAGAAGTGTGTAATAGAAACTGGTCCTCAATATGTGAATGAAATGAATCTCCAACATGTTAAGGAAATGAGATCGCAGTGAATGTAAGTGATATAAAAGCTGAAAATTATTTCTTTCAAAGAAATTAGACAAAATAGACAGTGAAATCACCAGGTATATTATACATAAACTGTAGAGTCCAGGTATGGAAAAGTAAGGAATTAAACATTTTATTTTGAAATGTATTTTTTAATGATTATTTTTTTCCAGTTTCTTGGTGAGCAGATATTAGAAGGCAGGAGAGTATATGCTTTCCAGAAAGTGAATACTGTGGGAAAGAAAGTAAGTTTTATTTGAATAGCAAGTATATTTTTATCGTATGTATTGTATGCAATTTTACTGGTATTTTCAGTAATGAATCATTACTGCCTGGCACGTCTATCCTTAAATTATTTTTGTCAAGTATAAAAAATGAAATTTTATATTTGATTTATTTACTTTAATATACACTAATACATATAGGTTGCTTCTTCTACATTTTTTAAACAGTCCTATTGGAAGAGTGAGAAAAATAATTATCCAGGATAGCAAAATTCATTTAAATATTCAAAGACAAGACAACATATGTCTAACAGTAACTAGCAGTCTAAAAATAAAAGACAAACATTTCAGGAATGCATGATGACAGTACTAAATAAAATACATGTGAAAGAAATCTAGTTTGATCATTTATACACTGGTTACAGATGAGAGCTGAGCGTCTGAGGAGAAGCACGCTAAATACACGGGATAGCAACAACGGTCCTAAAATCTCATGTTCTGATTTTGGCAAACTTTTCCAAAATCGTTCAGGTCTTGCTAGTCACACTCACTATCACCATGGTTTGTGAGTCCTGTGCTTCCTTGTAGCACAGTATAACACTGTTGTCTGGAATGACGGAAAGATGCTAACAGTAGTCACCACCATCATGAAGTCACTTACATTCCACTGTTCCGTCAGGCCTGTGGTTTCCTGCATCTGATGTCAAGAAAAAAAGCAGCCGGAGTGGGAGGGGGGGGGGCATCATCATTAAAAAACATGTAAAACAGGCCGGTTGATATGGCTGGACAAAGAGAGACATAAACCAGCTGCCTGGGAATAGTCAAAGATTAGGGAAAGCAAAACAGTTGTATCTTATGCCTTGTAAGGGCTTGGTGCAGTGGGTGTTTTTCTGACAGTTTCAGTATTGAAGCAATGTAAGCTAATAATTCGATCATACATGCTAGCTATGAAGACATTGGATGATAGTCGATAGTACTCAGCTATAACATAGACATTATTACTATTGGGTGATGCAGATGGATAACGAGTGAAAGGCAAGGGGAAACCACTGCTGTATTGATTTCAACAATGGTATTGAGAGCTGACCTTTCAGAGAGAAGTGCACTCACCATAGCATCATTAACCACTGTTGGTTTACTTTTGCCTTAAAGATGGTGTGGCTGTTTTTCTTGTATTCTTTTTAATATCTGTTGTGACATTCCTTTCCCAGGTAAGCACATATACTTTCTGGTCATCGTTTCCTGAGAACTTCCCCGTACGTTATGAGATGATGGGATACGATACACTGTTGGGCTCCCACTTTGACAAATATTATGTTGATTACCTTTCCTATAAGTCACCAGTGCAGTTTAGCAAAGAGGACTTTGCTGTGCCCAGGAGTGAGTATAGAAATAGTAATGATTAGTCAAGTGCCATCTTTATGGTGAATGTTTGAGGAAATAGATTTCCATCACTTTTCTGTCTCTAACTTATGTTGTATGCTCCGCATTATTGATGTTATCTTTCTATATTTTTCATGGCCTGTTGCTCAATCATGAAAAGATGTCAAACCAGATAAAAAGTAGAACCAGTGAGCTTCACAAACAACAGCTGAACGTTGCAGTTAAAGAACCTTCATCAGCACAGTACATACATATACAAAGCGACAAGTATGAACAAGAAGACACAAAATCACTTACCTGGTGTATATCTGATAGAAATCACATTTCTTTTTGTCCAGTATTCAGACGTACAGTAATATAGTGGCATTCTAGTCAACCCAGCCTCATTTAGAAATAATAATGTGTATACCATGACAGCATGGATGTTGGAGAAAAACGGAGGCAGTGGTAACTGTACACAAAAATGTGTTTGACCGTTTGGCATCTTGACATGGAGGAACATCTTTATACACAATTGCTGACAGTACACATAACAGAGTGGCATATAAGGCAAACACCAAAAGAGGAGAGGCACATAGAGCAGATGGTGGATCAAGAACAAAATGTAAAGATAATATCAGAGAAACTCTACAATACCATGTGTTTGGTTGAATTAGCCAGAAGAGCAAAAAGTAGAACCTTATACCTCCTTTAACACCCAAAGTGGTAAAATAGGAAGTGAAGAAGAAGAAGACACATGAGAAAACTAGAAAGATATGGTGACTTTAAAAAAAAGATTGCCTTAAAAATTTTTTTATTAATTTTTTTTTAAGTATAACTAAAATAAATATGGAGAATGTTTCTACTTCAGATCTGACTTGTAGTTCCTACCCTGGCCCTGGTGTGTCCCACACGGACAAGATTCAGATGAACCCCATCAAAGAGTATGTGCATCACCATGACAAGCATGTGCATGAGAGCTTTGAACACTTCAAGACTGCCCACAAGAAGCAGTACTCGCCACAGGAGCATGACTCCAGGAAGCATGTCTTCAGACAGAACCTCAGGTGAGCCTGAATCTAGATTGTTGGCACCTTTCTGTCTTTCTAGATGACAGTGTTATTTTGTGCTATAAGGAGATATGGGAATCACAACCTATGGTGATGGTGAGTGAAACTAGCAAAACCTGCAGCATTAACAAGAGGGGGGAGGGGCAGCGTGGTCTCGAGGCATGACATCCGCCTCGAGTGTTGGAGGTCCTGGGTTCAAGCCGTGGTGTAGGTTGGGATTTTTAAAACGTGGGCTTCCAGTAATTTCCCCTGGTTTCTGGGTAGTAAGATCGGATGCCTGTGTGTATTGTTGCACACGAACAAAAATTCCTTGGCAGCTGAGAATTGAAAAAAAAAGTATCTTAACAGCGCTGCCCGTGCACAATTTTGAGTTAAAAATCTACCCAAAGTATTTCACAATCCTCGCAGGTGCTACTGAGTTCGTGCACTGCACTGAGATTCTACGGACTCAGGCTTGAATCAGAAGTAGAACAGAGCACTTATGGGTTACAACCCTTGTGCCATGATGTTGATCCATTGCCTAAACCTAAACCAGACCCGCAGTCCTTCAGAATTACACTATGGGATTTCAGGATCATTGTTGCCATCACATGTTTCTTCTCTCACATTTGTCTATCTGCAATCTGTTTTTTCCTGTATCCCTATCCGCTTCCTGATTACCTCTCAAAAACAGCATACAGCAGTTTTCCATCTAAGAACAGGGCACAGCTGACTCAGCTACCACATGCATAATATAACGGCTTTACAGTCCCCACAGTGTGTGCATGTCAGACATTACCACAAACACCTGAGAGCATTCTGAAGGCCTGCCCACTATACTTATAACTATGAAGAGAAACCTGGCCTGCAAAGCAAGCTGTGTGGAACCATGGAGGACCTGCAGCTGATATATAAATGCATAGAAAAAAAAAGTAAAGGACCCTTTTTCACACTTTTAGGTATATAGGGCTAGACCTATATTTTTATAGACCAAGGCACAAGATGGGTGATGTGGTCAGCATTACGCCTAAATGCATAGAGGCAGCATAAAAGTCTTATCTGAGCATATTAACTAAACGTTAAGGAGAATATATATCCCCCCCCCCCTCCTTTTTGTTAGGCTCAGCCAGTCAGCTTACAAATATTGACTGGTGCTGTGAAAGCTATCCTTGGTTTGCTTAATTTCCTTTTATATTTGTATCTGATCTTCTACTTTAGTTTTCTCAGGGGAGGCTTACCAGCACAACAGATGCCTGCAGAAGTCAGATGTGTCGGCAGAAAGGGGCACATAACGCAGCCATGTTGTAAACGGGCACAGCGCATTTACACATTCTGATGCATAAAAAAATGTTCTGAATAGTAATAATGATAACGTGGTTCTTGCTTACAGATACATCCACTCCAAGAACCGTGCTGGTCTCTCCTACACAATGAGTGTCAACCATCTGGCTGACAGGACAGAGAATGAGATGAAGAAGATGAGAGGCTTCCGATATACCCATGGCAACCGTGGGGGTAAACAGTTCACCTCTGAGGCCTTGAAAGTGCAGGATGTCCCAGATCAGTGGGATTGGAGGCTTATAGGTAAAATATGATCGTCAATTGTCTTGCTCACTGCCATGGACGATCATTATTTTCAACATTTTGTTGTGTCTAGTACATTAGTTAGTATGCTGGCACCTCTTTGTGTCATCACAAAATACTGTCAAGGATCTTTTCTCATCATCTTCCACTATCTCTCTTTCCATACGTCACTCCAATTTTTATCCTCCTAAGGATTGGAGACTTACAGGTAAAATATTTTATCAGTTGCTTTGCTCACAGGTATAGGCAATTATGATTGTCCATATCTTGTGATTTCCAACACCATATAATCATTAGTGTTATTAATCTCTGTGCCATGCCAAAAGTCTGTCAAGAATCTTCTCTTATCATCTTCCAGTATCTTTCTTTCCAGTTTTGCTCTTCTCACATGGCCAAAGATTTCAGCCACCCCCTTTTCACATTTGTAATAAGTTAGCTTTGTGTCAAATCTCTTTCAAAATATTTAGATTACTCATTTTGTCTGTCCAATGAGTTTTAAGCATTCTTCTGTAGAGTCATATTTCTAAGACCTAAATTTTCTTGACTTGTTTACAATTTGTCCAGAATTCATAACCACGTGTTAAAACTGGTTCTGTGTCCATGAAAATATGATTTTTATAAACACCATACAGGTTTAATACAATATTTATTGATAGATAAATGTCCTTAGTTTATGGTTTTAATGGGAGGGATGAAAAAGAGGGAGTTGACTGGTTGCTTTCCTTCCCAAAGAAATACAGGGTATAATTTTTATGATACCCAGTCAACACCTGAGCCATCTCTGAGAAATTCCTCCTCAGCTGAGAACTGAACCTGAGCCTGTGTACTATTTATTTATCCACAATGGCTCATGGTTCATTGATTCATAAGAAAAGTATCATTACAGCTATTTAACACTGCTTATTAACATCTAGAATACACACGTCTTTTGGTTGCAATCAGTACTTTGGTTTTCTTCTTTGGTTAACTTCTTCTTTGTATTCACTAGCTGTCAGCGCTGGAGGAAAGTCCTGGTTGTTCATCCATTTCTGGATTTTGGTCTTGTTTCTTCTTCTTCTTTGTTCACTGGCTGTAAACTCTGATAGAAAGTGCAAATTGTTCATCCATTTGAAATTTGGCTTTGTGTGAGGACCTGAGTTTACATCATTTTACTTTCTTATTTATGTGCAGCTGGTTCCTTGCCGTTCGTGCAGATGCACTCCCAACTTCGAAAGAAACCTCTAATTAGTCTACTCCTATGACATACTTGTTGTTGTGGCAGTTGGTGTCTTCTTGTTTTCCCCACAATGGAGCCCCAGAAACCACATGGGGAGGTCTTGTTTCAGGACTTAAGTATTGCATTCACATCTGTTTTACAGATCAGCATATTTGTATGCAGACTGTTGGCTACTCACCTCTCAGACAGATGCCCTCCGACTTTAAAGGAACCATTGATCCTAGGCTAGTTCTCTGCAGAGATGTAGATAGGTCTTGGCCATTTTGAGCCCTGGTGCAGGTAAACCACTTTGCATGATTCAGCACTGCTGCATTCCATGAGATGGACAAAGAAGCAGAATGGAGAGCATTACAGAAAACTGCTGCAGAATGCTTTGAATTGGGCCATAGTGAAGCACCGTATGATGACTGCACACATGTGTATCTTCTTTTTCCTCTTCTTCTTCTTAGTTTTCACCAGCTGTAAACTCCGACAAAAAGTTCTGTTAGTTCATCTACTTCTGGACTTTAGTCTTGTTCCAGAACTTGAGTTTTGTGTGCATATCCCTTTCACAAATCTAGCTTATTAGTATGCAGACTGCTGGTTTTTGCCTTTCAGGCAGATGCCCTCTGACTTCAAAGTAAACATTCCAAATTAGTTGACTCTTACAACTTTCTTGTTAGAAAGGTAGTGGGTCTATTATTTTTTTTATTTTTTTGTTTTCACAATGGGGTCTCAGAAGCCACACTGTTGATGTATCAACAATTATTGTTAAAAAGGAATTGCAAATCTGTAACGTTATATACAACCCTAGCATGTGAATGCATGTTTTTCCATCCATTAACGATTGACCAGAAAGATGACGCCAAGAAATAAGTCAGTATCTGTTGTGATTGTAGACTTACCATCTTGTAAAAATGTAACATTCTTGTGTTGTCTGTAATGTATCTTGTGCAAAGTTGACATTCTTGTGTTGTCTGTCATGTCACCTGTTCTTGTAAAAAGATGACATTCTTGTGTTGCCTCTAATGTCGCATGTTCTTTTCTTTCAGGGGCTGTGACTCCCGTGAAAGACCAGGCTATCTGTGGCTCATGCTGGAGTTTTGGGACCACTGGTACTATTGAAGGTGCCAACTTTCTGAAGGTATGTCTGCCAACTATTCCTTCATTGAGATAACAATTTCTTCTTCTTCAGCATTTGCTCTTAAAAAGTCAGTTAACATATTATATTGTGGTTTACAGCCAGATTGTGATATCAATTGCTTTTGACCCAACACATTTGATTTCAACATATCCCTTTTTAGTTGCCTTTTACAACAACAAAATGAGGCCTCTAAACTACAAAGGGAAGATCACATTTTTATATCAGTTGTTTTGCATTTTATCTCTCAGGCATATGCCCTGATTTCAACATGTACCACACCCTTTATGTGACAGTTCTTGATTTGCTGGATTTTTCAACAAAAGTTTGCAGGACAAACAGTTAATTCTCATTGTTTTTGTTTGTTTGTTTTTGTTAAATAATTATAAAATTGTGCAACTCAATGACAATGATTTTCTGCAGTAGACCTGTGCACCCAAAGCTTTCTTATCTATACCATGGTTCATCTCTTCTGCCACCGTATAAAATATTGCATTGTGGCTTGTGAAACATGTAGACTTCTTTTTCTTCTTTGCATTCACTGGCTGTAAGTTCTGGTGTTTTTTTGTTGTTGGTGTGTGTGTGTGTGTCCACTTCTGGACTTTGGTCTTGTTTTAGAACTCTAGTTTTGCATTCACATTCGTTTTACAGATCAGACTTATTTGTATGCAGACTGTTGGTTCCTCGCCTCTAGACAGATTCACTCTGACTTTTAAGGCTACTCCCGTAATTAGTTGACTTTTACTAAATGCTTTTTATGGGGACGGGGAGGCAGTTGGTATATTTTTTTTTTTTAAACCCCAAAATGGTGTCCAGGAACCCACACAGAGAACATATTGCTTACTGTTGTGTACAATCCAGAGATTCACACTACTGACGACTGCTAATGAACATGAGTAATGACGAGAGACACGACGTCACTTGCTGACAGAGGAATTGGACAGACGACAGTTACAAGAAAGGTAGGACGAGCAGAGGCTTGTCTTGATATGTCCTGATGCCGCAGTTTGCGGGAGAGTAAAGTCTCTGAGCTCCATGTTGGAGGAAAGAAATTATCCTACCGTTGTCCTGATGCCGCAGTTTGTGGGAGAGCAGTCTCTGAGTTCGATGTTGGAGGAAAGTAATTATCTTACCATCGTTGAGTACAGTGATTGAAACATATTGATTTCATTGACACACATTATATCTGTGGAGGAAAGTTGAATAAAAGTGTTGATATTGCCTGTCAACGACGTGTTCTCAAATGTAGAAGTTTCAACAGTTGACCTTGTTGGTGGCGTTTTTCTGCCTGTCGTTGGTTTTGACATTTGTTACCCCCTAGAGTATTAAGTTACTTGGACTTGGTACGGCATGGACCCGGGACTACATTTCACGGAATAATCTATGCACAGAAGATCACCGTACAGTAATGAGAGCCAATATCGCCGCACACTTACCAATTAATAGTGTTTTTTACTTCTCTTTGCTAGACCGGCAACCTGATCCGACTGTCTCAGCAAGAACTGATCGACTGCTCCTGGGGGGAAGGCAACAATGGCTGTGATGGTGGTGAAGACTTCCGGTCCTACAAGTTCTTGATTGAAAACGGAGGTTTGACAAGCGAAGAACAGTACGGGCAATACCTGGCTATTGTAAGCATTTCTTATTATTTTTACATTTGAATATCTTACAATATGGTCAGTGCCAGATTATTCTAAATATTTTGTTATTTTACAACTGACTATCTTGCAGAATGGTCAATACCTGGTTAGTTATTGTAAGCATTTTGTTACTTTTACAGCTTAAGTATCTTATTTAAATTAATTTAGAAAAACTAACCCCAAAAAAAAAAAGTTGTTTGCAGAATCAAGCCTAGAATTTTTCAAAGTTAGCTGTTTGCAGTTTCAGTAAGCAATTTGATGCTAAGTAATTTGCCATTGCTTTCTAAATGGTCAGCTCTCAATACCACTATTTAAACCAAAACAGGCTGGTCTGCTACCGGTTTGCCCGCAGCTGGGATGGAACCCAGCACCTGGGAATAACAAAGTGCGTTTACAACATCCAAACCATAGACACTGACTTAGAGGCAATTTAAAGGTAATAAATGCAAAGTGAGAGATGTGGTAGCCTGGGTGCTTGCCTGGACTAGGGTTCAAATCTGCATAGTGGCAATAGGTTTCTTTAAAACTGGGCTTGATTCCCATGTTGATGCAGCCTAAAATAGGAACTAGATAATCACCCATCAAGTGCCGTTTGGTTTGTAAAATTATAGGTAGGTCTAGCGCTGTATGTCCAGTGTGCCAAAGGTGTAAAAATCATCCTTTGCTTACTTTACTTTAAAAACAAAGTTTTCAGTGCAGAAAAGCAGTGTGGAAGAATTGGGAAGAGATGAATTGGTGGTAGTGTTTTGTGATCTAAATTCATTAAGTACTTAATAATCTTTTTCTTCGTAGTATTCATCAGCTGTATAACTCTGGTGGAAAGTTCTGCTTGTTCGTCCACTTCTGTACTTTGGTCTTGTTCCAGAACTTGAGTTTAAAGTACACATCTTCATTACAGATCTGGCTTATTTGTATGCAGATTGTTGGTTTCTTGCCTGTCAGGCAGATGTACTCTGGCTTTGATCGAAGAAAACTTTCCTAATTATTTGCCTTGTACGGCAGGCTTGTTAAGAAGGCAGTGCCTCTGGGAATTCAAAATAGCCAGCGCGATGTTGTGTCTCAGGAATTACATATAGCCAGCAAAGTGTTGATCACATCACCAGTCATTTGCTTATTGGCCTTTACAAATATGTGTAGCACCATTAGCCCAGTGCACCAGTGGCATGTATCCTATACAGAACATTGCTCTTGTCATGGCACACATGAAGGCCTCTCTTTCTCCAGCCAATACTCCTTCCCTATGTGCTTTTATAGATAATGCACCTTGAGTGTCTTGTATCCACCTTTACAAAGGTCCACCCTTGCCTTGTTTACCCGGAAACTACCCTCCATCACCAATTTTTGCAGTCAACCATGATGGATAACATAGCCAAAAATGCCTCCGCTTTCGGGACTTGGGGGTTTTTATGAGCCAGTTGTGTGATGGTGTTTATGAGCCAGTTGTGTGATGGTGTTTATGAGCCAGTTGTGTGATGGTGTTTATGTGCCAGTTGTGTGATGGTGTTTATGAGCCAGTTGTGTGATGGTGTTTATGTGCCAGTTGTGTGATGGTGTTTATGAGCCAGTTGTGTGATGGTGTTTATGTGCCAGTTTTGTGATGGTGTTTATGTGCCAGTTGTGTGATGGTGTTTATGTGCCAGTTGTGTGATGGTGTTTATGAGCCAGTTGTGTGATGGTGTTTATGTGCCAGTTGTGTGATGGTGTTTATGTGCCAGTTGTGTGATGGTGTTTATGTGCCAGTTGTGTGATGGTGTTTATGAGCCAGTTGTGTGATGGTGTTTATGTGCCAGTTTTGTGATGGTGTTTATGAGCCAGTTTTGTGATGGTGTTTATGTGCCAGTTGTGTGATGGTGTTTATGTGCCAGTTGTGTGATGGTGTTTATGAGCCAGTTGTGTGATGGTGTTTATGTGCCAGTTTTGTGATGGTGTTTATGTGCCAGTTGTGTGATGGTGTTTATGAGCCAGTTGTGTGATGGTGTTTATGAGCCAGTTGTGTGATGGTGTTTATGAGCCAGGTGTGTGATGGTGTTTATGAGCCAGGTGTGTGATGGTGTTTATGTGCCAGTTGTGTGGTGGTGTTTATGTGCCAGTTGTGTGGTGGTGTTTATGTGCCAGTTGTGATGTGTGCATGGGTCTTTATTTACCTGTACCGGTTCCTCTGTAATGACTATTTTGTGGAATTAATGTATGTTAACGTAACATTTTTATTTCATTCCCCAAACAGGATAGTTTCTGTAAGAAGAAGTTAGTCACTCCAGTTGTCCAGATTACGAACTACACCACCATACCCCAGGGTGATCTGGCAACTCTCAAGTTGTCCATCTTCAACAAAGGCCCCATTTCTGTCGCTATCGATGCATCCCACAAGTCATTCAGTTTCTACTCCAATGGTGTCTACTATGAACCAGACTGCAGTGAGTTGCTTTTCTGTTTGTTTGCTTAAGTCACATATTATCATCATCACCTGCAATCGTTCCCAAAAGAAACCTTAAAATTAACGTCAATGAGCGATGCCAAAGTTCCTGGTCTGGATTCCATCCATTGCTGAATTGATTGCACAAGTTAGAGCAGAATAGAGTGATAGACTGTGAGCCTTATGTGACATATAAAGGCACAACAGGACAATGAAGATGGAAATTGTTGCTGGAGCTATGGAGTTTGTGCTTTGTGTAACATTCTTTGGCAGGTGGCAAGCTGTTCTGTGGAGAGAGGCTGAGCTGTGTGGGATCAAATCTGGTGCAGTAAAATCAATTCTCTCAGATTTGAAAGCTTTTAATTTACAGTCGTATTTTATGTTAAATAAGTTTTCAGCTGCTGTTAAAAAATCTACCGTTTACTAAACTAACACAGCCACATTAATCATTGTGATTGAGGACGTCAGATCAGGGACTTTATGTGGGTTCTAGGGCCCCATTTTTGGGGCGGGGGGGGGGGGGCTAGTCACTTATGCCCCTAAACATACATACCTACACATGCACATGTGTATGGGTACTAGATAATCTTGTGGCGTCCGTGGCTAAGGCGTTGCAAGTCCGACTCGTAATCCAACGTACCGCAATCGAAACCCACTGCGGGCTGCATGGAATTTGTTCGTGGTATGGGACGTCGCAGGTCGACCCAGCCTAGAATGGGTACCAGGATGGGCTGTCCTGGGAAAGTAAAGACAGCTGGCGTAATGCTGACCACATTACCCACCGAGTGCTGATGGTCTGTAAAAATATGGGCGCTCTTGTCATATGCCCGATACGCCTAAAGGCGTGGAAAGGGATCTTTACTTTTTACTTTACTAGATAATCTTAATAGATTTCTGGCAAGGATATTTTTGATGGAATTTGACTTCTCTCTTTTGTGTGCTTTAGCCTAGATTATATAAAGCCTTACTTAATACTTCATGCACAAAAGACAGTAAGTTTTTATGAGAGCAACTAAATCCTTTGTCAATATAGCCTGGCCATAAATATGGCCTAAATGCTGAACACGGTTTCTGGGACCTCTCCATGGGTGATCCTCACCCACATGGTGGCACTTTGTGTCATCGGGTGTTTATCGCTTGTGTGATGTCCTGCTGGGGTAGAAAGTCAGTCAGTGAGTCATCTCTTTACAACTAGGTGGTACAAATTTGCATTTTATACCCAACACATAAGTTAACCCCTAGTTTTGGAAAGATTTTTTTAAAGCTTGAAAACTAGACTTATTTACCAGACTTTACAGTAAGTCTAACTTGTAAACTTGACACTTTATTGTCATTTTCAGAAAGCGACCCGGACAGCTTGGATCACGCAGTGCTTGCTGTAGGCTATGGAACTCTGAATGGTCAAAACTACTGGCTGGTCAAAAACTCATGGTCAACATACTGGGGAAACGATGGCTACGTGCTGATGTCACAGTTAAACAACAACTGTGGTGTGGCTACTGATGCCACCTATGTGGACATCAAATAAACCTTGGACACGTCTTTCAAGCTTACTTTAAAAATTACCTTGTATTTCACATTTGAGTAGTTGTAAAAAATTGTGTACTGTTCATGTTGCTTTCAACAGTCAAATTTTACCACTCAGTTGTGCTTTGCTCTAAGTTAATGCAGTACTGAAAATTATTAAAATGATTTTATGTATTTATATAGCAAGTGCATAGCAATTCTAGACCAAGATGGAAATTTGTTAGAATTTATATCTTATGACAGATGTTTTTGTGATTGACATCTTAGGCTTATGCAAGAATATTCTATTTTAAATATAGAAAAGCAGCTGTTTGTATGTATGTACCATTTGGTTACTTTTTTTCTGGCAACTTTTATGTTTGTTATATATTTGAATGTTTTCCCTGCAGTTGTGGCTTAGACCTGTGCATACATAGATTTGTTTTCTACTAGAATTGAATTCTTATGGCATTTGTTGTTACTGAGATTGTAGATGACAGTTATATCTTTCACTAAGCCTAGATGTATAATTTCTGATTCTGTGCACTTTTAGCAGCACATATGTTACTAGCAAGAGGCTATAAATGCAAAGTTATTAAGTGAAAATCATAGAAGCAAGGAAAAGAAATAGTTATTAAAGTAGGACAAACTAGACAATATCAAGTCAAAGCTATAGCAACCACATCAGGATTAGATCATACCAGCTCCAAATGGAGACAGTGCCTTGCTGAAGAAAAATCTGGGCCTTGGCAACATTTTCAGATTTATTTTTTAAAGTGCTTTGGAAAGCGCAATTTAATAATGAACCTGAGTTTGGTCTCATCAGTAAAGCCAATGGCAGTATATATTTTGTGGATTGGGTTTTAAAAAAATTTTTTCTAGTGCTTGTGTTTCTAGATAATATTATATCTGAGTGTGCCAACTTCTGAATCATTCCATATTTCTACTCTTCATATCTTTGCCTGACTGCAGTGCTTTGATGTGTAATATGAGAAGGTAATGCATGACACAGGTACTTACAACTTTCTATTCATAAATAACTTTATCATTGTGATATTTCATTTGTGAGTAGATATATAGTGAGGCACTATGTTTTATCAGTTAATGTAAATGTAGCTGAGAACATTACACACATCAGAAGGAGGCAGTCTCATTCTTTGGGTACACACCACAAGAAATGGAAAACCGGAGTACTTTTGACAGTAGGGGCAGAAAGGCAGATGGAGAGACAAAGAGAGATGTTAAGACATATAGACATCATGAAATGGAGGGACATGTATATAAGAAAAGATTGACAGTACATGAGACAAGGCTTTGGGTAGGCATAATTACCAACGTTGGACGGCATGAGCTAGAAGAAGAAAGATGGCGTTTAAATAGATGGTTACAAGTTAGGTGTTGCGGGTTGAGCTGCTAAGAACTGAGATCACATCACAGGACATTTCCATAAGCACTCCATCCTCATCTTCAGCTACCAGCAAAGTGCTCCAATTCCATTGGTGTCAGTCGCAGTTTGATTATATGTCCGTAAATTAACTTAAACAATAGTACAGTGATATAAGAATTATATCTTTGTGGCATTTAAAATTATAATATTTATGTTAATACAGTGATACGAGAATTATTATCTTTGAGACATATTTAAGGTAAACAGCTTTTGTTAAGAAGTAATGTTGCAGCATAAGTGTTCCGAAGTTTTTAAAAAAAATTGTCACTATGAAATTACATAACAGCATTAATGTTGTGAAGTTGAAATATTCTTGTTTAACATGTTACATTACATGTTATGAACTTTGTGTGGCATGCTGTTCTTTTGGACTTGTTATAATGTTATCTTTCTTGAGAAGCACAATAAATGATCACTAAGTTATGTTAATTGAGTCTTTTATTCTGTAGTTGTATGCTTTTTGTAAAGTTACCTCCAATTTTTCCATGCATTTAGCTAAGAAGTTGTGAACAGTTTCATATATCCAACAACTTCTCCATCTGAGTTCCAGGGCCACATTTTGGGGAAACAAGAATAGACCAACTGCCTCCCCAACAATCATGGAGAAGGAGTTGACTAACTGGTGTGCCTCTGCCTGAGAGGCAAAGAACCAACAATCTGCATACAGTTAAGTCAGATCTGTTAAGTGGATGTGCACGCAACATTCAGGTTCTAGAGTAAGACTAAAGTCTAGAGGTGGACAAACAACCAGAACTTTTCACCAGAGTTTACAGCCAGTTAACATGCAGAAGAAGAAGAAGATATATCCAACATAATGGGTTTGAGACAGTTTGGCAGCTGATTTGTGTGTGTGGTTACCAGCTGTAAACCCCGGCAAAAGGTCCTGGTAGTTCATCCACTTCTGGACTTTGATAAAATTTTTTCAGTACTTGAATGTTGTATGCACATCTGTTTTACAGATCTGGCTTAATTTTGTCAGATGTTGGTTTCTTGCATCCCAAACAGATGCGCTTCAACTTCAAAGAAAACATTGATCCTAATTATGTTTGCAAGATTCCTGGTTCAAAGGAAACATTGTCCCATCTATGTTTACAAGATCCCTAGTTCAAAAGGAAATTGATCCTGTCTATGTTTGCAAGATCCCTAGTTCAAAGGAAACATTAATCCTGTCTATGCTTGCAAGATCCCTAGTTCAAAGGAAACATTAATCCTGTCTATCTTTGCAAGATCCCTAGTTCAAAGGAAACATTGATCCCATCTATGTTTGCAAGATCCCTAGTTCAAAGGAAACATTGATCCTATCCATGTTTGCAAGACCCCCGAGTTAAGAACCTGTTTCTAGATTGTTCATAAAAGTTTGGGCAGGTCTTGACCAGTATCAGCATTGATCCTGGTGCCCCACAATACTAGCTCAGCACTTCTGTATCCTGCCTCCAATCTCGACAATGGCATCAGCATCACCGTGCAGACAGCAATGGCAAACTTCTGAAGGTAAAATTGCTGGATTTGGTTTATGAGGTATAGTTAAAAGGATCTGCAGCTAACTTTGGAACTCCCACGGGCTGAGGGAGAAACTGAGAATGAGTGAAGACAGTCTAGTAACTCTAACACAAGAGTTATAATATATGTACACCCCCCCCCCCCCCCCAACCCAACTTTCGTTAGTGTCTGCTTTGTGCCACCACGCAGTTCAAATCACACTTGAAAGAAGATAGAAAAGAGGTTGTAGGCGAAGTTGATGCAAATTTCCCATGCGGATATTGTTTTGCAACTATCACGAGCATTGTTTCTATATATCTCTCGTTTATGTAGGCTGTTGCAGACTTGCTGGTGACATTATTTAGTAATGTTAGTTAGGTGAGCCACGAGAAACGCTACCTGTCGTACGCAACTTCTCTGTTTTATTGATTGAAGAGCTGAACTGTCAGTACGGCTTAATTAAGAAGCTAACAGTACGGAACCAAAGAGTTAACAACAAATAGCTTCTCAATACTTTGAAAAAATATATTAAATTATTCCAGACCGTAGGTTATTCAAAATCCATGTTGTAAATAATGCTGCTTATAGAAGTGTCAATGCCAGCGTAGTAGGTTAAACCTGACTTCGCGGCGACCGGGTAACAAACTCCTTGTGGTCCGGGTTCACGCCCGGGGGTAGGCAGAAAAGCCACATTTCTCCCAGATTTACGGTATCTATCTTCAAGGTCGAAGGGTTGCGATATTCATAGTACCGAGACAAAGGGTTAAGAACTCATGGTTTTTGCATGTTTAAAGCAAAGGAGACGACCAACACTGACAGCAACTAATAGTTTCTGGATGTTAAAGAAAATATATATATATATATGAGTTTCGGTGTATGCCATCCGTGTACTAAGTGTCGAAGTATGGGAATATTAAATATAAACTAGAGAACAGCATATTCATTAATAATGACAAGAAAGACATACGTTATTAATCAATAACATCATTTATTTGTTCATTATGAAAATATAAAAATTAAGTACTAACTGCAATTGTAGTATGTTAAACAACACTAGGAAAGATACAAAATGTTTTCTCTTCCAATAACATTGAAGTAGAAACAGAAGCAGACTTTTGATCAGGTAGCAATGCTACTTAACATCCTCCAATGAACGTAAAATTGTGACAACAAAGATGAAATGCCTTAGAAGAGCTGCAGGTGTTTCAAGGAAAGACAGAATATGAAATCAGACGAATGCTAGGACTATTGCCAGTCTTACAGGTCATCAAAGAACAACAAATGAAGTGGTTTGGACACCTAACAAGAATGCCCTGGTACTATCCACCACAGCGAGCCACACTAAAACGTTACAACGGGTATAGAGCGAGTGGAAGACCTCGGAAAATATGGAGTGATGGCATTAAGAACAGCCTTACAAAAATGAACATCAGTCTTAGTAGTGCTCTTGACAGAGCTCATCAACAAACATGACATCTTTCCCCGACACTTCGATGAGGTAAAAGGTGGAAGAGAAGAAGAAGCAACTGCTACCATTAGCCACAGTCTCCTTTAGAATATTAAAAGCTGGAGGTCGTTCATTAAAATTTCAACTCTACTTTGGTTAATGAAGAAGGACACGTACAACGTGTGGGAATATCCAGGTTGCAAGGATGTCAGTTCTTGTTAGATTGATTCGTTAATTCACAGACCAGTATTTTCCTCTATCCTCGCCACTAAACAGGGGCATTGACTGCAAGTCACAAGTTTTGATTCTGTGCTATTTTCAAGGTTCAGTGGATGTTACATGCTTCAAGTTTCTGACATTAGTAGAAAGATATATATATATATATATATATATATATATATATATATATATATATATATATATATATATATATATATATATATCTTTCTACTTCTTTATATGAGTGTCAATCAATAATTTTATATATATATAAATGATAAACAAAAAATTATTGATTGACACTCATATAAAGAAGTAGAAAGATAGAAGGACACACTAGACAACATAAAAATTGAAAGCTGTACATATTGTGCCGCGAATCAAACCTGTCACCTCTAAATGGCGTGTTCGCCTAGCTACGTAAATAAGA